TTTGCATTTATATTTGTTTGTATATTAGTCTTATAAAATATATCGATCAAAGTACATACATAATTTTGTTTTTGGCAACTTCATCAAAAATATTTCGGAAATAACGTATTTTAAGCAAAAAATTCTAAACAAATTTTCAATTTTAGTGTGTTAAAAAAATTTAAGAATGGTTGACAATCTTTAAGGCGGAATTTAAAACATTTTTAATTATATAAAAGTTGGAAAACTAAAAAGAATAATATAAAGTATTCCAGAAACAAAGAAGGGTTACTTCGCGGGAATACTTCGAAGATCTGTTAAATACAGACCAACAAGAGGAGCTAGAGGGAAATGAGAATGGACAAGAAGATGAAGCAGGAACGTGCAAGAAATCAATTTTAAATGAAGTCAAAGAAATATTAAGAGTCTTAAAAAATAACAAAAGGACAGAAAAAAGTGGTATCCCAGCTGAGATTTTTACGAAAGGCGGCGAAAGACTGAAAAAAAAATATTATTCCTCTTAACATTAGCAGTTTGGCAAGAGGAAAAAATGTCGAAACAATGAAACACCACTGTTATTTGTAATATTTATAAAAGTGACAAAACGGAGTGCGAAAACTATAGAGATATAGCACTTTTAGACCTTTTATTTTATTAAAAATAATGAAATATGATAAGAAAGTAATTCGAGAATAGCAGGGAGGGTTTAGACCAGGAAGAACAACTATTAAACAACAAATTATCGTCCAATCAGCCTGGTCTCTATTGTCGGAAAAGTCATGGAACCGATTATTTCGGAAGCTATGTTTGAGTTTATTCTTCCAGAAAATGTCATCCATCACCAACGGCATGATTTTATCAAAGAACGTTCAACGATCACAAACGTACTTCATTGTGTAAATGATTGGTCATCATCTTTAAACAATCGGCATCCTGTCGATGTAGTCTTCTCCAAAGCTTTCGACCGTGTTCCAAAACGTCGATTACTAGCTAAATTGGATCACTATGGTATCCGCGGAAAGTTAAACATTTGGATTCAAGATTTTCTATCCGACAGATACTTTAAGGTTCGTGTTGGGAAAGATCACTCACTAGATAAGCCAGTCAAGAGTGGAGTTCCACAAGGATCAGTACTTGGACCGCCACTTTTTTGTATCTACACTAGTGATCTTCCACTTATTGTATCCAGTAAGGTTTCCATTTATGCTGATGATACGAAATTATACGTGAATCCAATTATTAACCAACACAATCAATGTTCTTCAACACAATCTTCTTCAACATTGAAAAATGTGTTGTTCTGCATCTCGGCAAACCATCACTATCCTACTTTATTATTGGACATCCCTTAAACTCGGTAACCTCTCACAGCGACCTCAACGAAGTCATAATTAATAGTAACATAAATTGGTCTAATCACATAGTGTCGGTGTGTAAATGTGGAAACTCGAAACTGTTTTTGATCCGTAGATCTCTAACCTCTGTTAGTAAACTTTACTCAATATACGTTAGACCTTTTCTTGAGTTTGCCGGACCAGTGTGGAATCCAGATCCCAGTCGCGATAATATCCTACTTGAAAATGTTCAGCGTAAAGCTACAAAACTGGCATAGGTCCGAGTAAGATCTAATTATGAAGATAGACTATACATGGCTCATCTCACGACATTCGAGCAGCGATGTCTTCAAGGTGACCTTATTTTGACGTATTTAAGGGATTCATTTGTGATTGAACACCTTTCGTATTTTAAAACATAATTTTGAAAACCTAAACACTTGGCCTTAAACCTTGATTAAGATGCCATCGTTACAAATTAAAGAGAGAACAAACTACTGCTAGGTTCAGGGTGAACTTTTTGCCAAATAGAATATTTGCCATATCGGCATCTAGCGTTAGGATCTTTAAAAATAAAATTGACAGATCTTTATTTTATTAATAGAATTGTGTTATTTTAGGGCCGCATTATTTTTTTGTTGTTTTAAAATTTTTATATGATGTAATTAATTGTAACTTTATAATTGGTATTAGGTAGTTTTATAAGGATATTTTTCTTTGTTTTTTGGATATAATAGGAGCTCGCTCCTCTCCCCTGCTCTGATTTGTTATATAATAGTAATAATAAATAATGAATATACCAAAAGAAAATAAAAAGTATGTAACTTTGTGAGCATACATAAGATCCAAATATGTCTCAAGAAAAACAAAAATTAAAATTTCCAAAACAGTTATCGGTCTAGAGATATGCATGCGAAATATGATAGGAGAAATATGCCATTAGAAAGGTGAGAGAAAAATACAAAGAGCAATATACAGAGGTGTCATAATAGATGGTCAATGAAGAATAAGGAATAATAAAGAACCTAAAGAATTACATAAATAGTCAAAAATGACAGTAATCGAAGCACAGAGAATACAATATTTAGGACACGTTGAAAGAATAGGAATGAAAGGAACGTTTGCTGAAAATGATACTCTTACGAAAGCCAATACAAAAGTGAAGGAAAAGTAGACCAAGAAAAAATAGAAGGAAATCGTGTATGAAGATTTAAAAAAAGTCATATTGGAAATTCTAAAGGAAAAGCATTGAACAGAAATGGAACGAAGTGGTTAAGAAATGTATGGAAACACTATGAAAAATATTAAATGTATTTTATATAATTAAAATAAAATGTAAACAGTAATTGTAAAGGTAAATGTAAACTTTTCAGCCCTAAATATTCAAGGCCTATACTAAATATCACATATTTACAAATTTAATATAGGAACTTTATAAATATAATAATAATATAAGAATGTAAGCTTAAAAACTTGTTCTGAAGCTACTTGAGGTATTTTAAAAATATTTTTTGACGTTTCGATTTCATTGTTTTATTTCTTTAAGATCATTAAAAAATATTCATTGGTCTTGAGTAATAATAATAATTTTATATCACAAAAATTGAATTTGATAGATTTTAGATAAGTCAACAATGTTGTTGACTCAACATGCAGGATATAAAATTGAATGGAACCATTTACGTAGAATTCTGAAAGAAAAATGTGGTAAAACAAGAATCAAAGAAGTTGCTCTAATTCTGTTACATGAAACCAACTACATCCCAAATTCCTCGACATAATTTAGCAAAATCTAAGTCCTTATATTAAAACAGAAGTCAATAAAAAGAAAATGTTGCTATTAGTGAATCAATAAAATATCGATGAAGTTGCTTACATATAAAATTAAAATTTGATATTAATATTAAGAAAAACTACATGTAAGACACACTTACCATGATAGGATAGAATCATAAGTTTTTTTATTTATAATTTACAATGAAATTACTAACCAGAAAATTTTAAAAATAACGTTCACTTATGGTACTTATGGTTACCTATACCGAACCCTCTATCACTTATGGTTACACGGCAAATGTATACCAACTTTGACCTTCAATATCTCGGCAACCAGTAAACCGAATGTATCTTTTTTTAAAGAAGCGTATTTTAATGTTCTTCAAGTGTATAAATTTTGAAATTGATATGTTTAAAGCTCGTAAAGTTATTCAATTTGTTTATAAGCCTAAAAAATGTTTAAAACTTTAAAAAAATTTCTAGGCTCTCCTAGTACACCGATTTGAGTTTTACAAACAGCGTTCGAAAGTTTGAGCCTTCTTTTATATGTAATAAAATTTGCAACTATCTGAGGGCCTTATTTAGGGCCTACAATAAATTTGAAAATTTGCGATTTTTCTTTCAGTAGGCTAGATTGCAAAATTATTATGCAAAACCTATCCGACCGATCTTAACAAAATTTAGCACACGCTTTTAACATATTAAAAAGTATTTCTAGGCGGAATATGGAGCTTGTAAGTCAAGTTTAGAAAGTCAAAAACATTTACAGGATTAACTTCATTTTTTGTACTTATTTTTTCAATTATTGCTATTTTTTCAACAATAAACATTAAATTTTCAATTTCTTGGTAATGAAATATTGTGTAAAATTGAATAACGAAACTTTTAACTTCTTATATTTTTTTCTCTATGATCAATATTTTCCGAATTATTAACGAAAATAGGAGCAAAAAAATGAGAAATTTTCAATTGTTTTCAGATTTTGTTGTTTTATTTAAGCCATTTATTTAGTTGCACGTAATGTTTTAAAGGTTAATGAAAAGGGCCGTAACACAACAAAAACTGTTATTTGAAAAAAGTGAGAAGAAACAAAATTTAAAAAAAAATAATTTGTTAAACTAATGATGCCACAAAATTCATTTAATTTGAACGTACTCAAAAGTTTGGGTTGATTTAAGGCTGCACACTACCCTTAAAATTTTTCTGTGCATTTAGATTTTGTTGTTTCTTTTTTATGAAAAATGCTTTCAGAGCAAGAATGTAACGTCTCCATATTTATTACAAAATGTCAAGTAGTTTAAGAGATAATGCAACAAAACAATTTTTATTTTGTAACTTCAAAAGGATGTAACTTTTTTGTGTACACTTTTTGAAACACCCTGTATTATAATATACTATATATAAAAGCATTTGTCAAAATAAAATAACAAAATAATAAAATTATTTATACTACATATTGTTTATTATATTTTGTAACTTATTTGCTTATAACTTTTTGGTACAAATAGTTTTGTGATCTAATTTATTTTAATTTAAATTTAAAAATTGTTTTATTTAAAATAAATTACATTTTTTACCCTTAACATTATTTTGAAACTATTTTCTTCGTTTTTATTGGGAATAACCCACAATTTAAATTTAAAATACGTTTATTTTTGACCTTTCAATTTCTACTGAAATCTTTCAAAATTGCTATTTTGATTTCCAAGCGGAAATCAAAACGTGAAAAATAAACTTATTTTAAAGTTAAATTGTGGCTTATTCCCAATAAAAATAGTAATTTCTTAGCGTAGTTTTGTAAATTAGATTTAAAAAACCATTATTTATTTTAATTTACTCTTAAGGAAACATTCACCAAAAAATTTTTACGTTAAAAAAATTCCAAGTCTAAAACAATCTAGTGCGACTTACCTCTCACGAATGGTCTCAATGTAATCTGCAATATAATCCACCGCAGCTTTTCCGAACTCCCTAAATTCCGTCACATCCATATTAATCAATCAGAAATACAGAAAAATCACTTTCTCCGCAACTTCGCCCACTTTCACTCGGATTATACACGATGGTATTAGTCGTAATACAACAAACTAGTACTGGAGGAGGATTTAAATAAAAGTGAGATCAAACCGCAGCTCTCTTTTTATTTAAGAGTTAACACAACACTTGACTGCCCTTCAATAAGTTTCAAGCGACGCTTTTCATTGTGTTCGGTATCACTGGTCTCTTCTTGCGAATAGTCGCTGTATAGATAACAAGTGTTTATATATACAAGCCATTATTTGTTACGCTTAGGAGATTTTTGAAGTATCCTTGAATACGCTAGGAAAAAGTCCGGCGTCTAATCGTCGATTTTTTTCTTAAATGTCATTATATATTTTGGTTCGGGAGATACCACTATGACTTTCACCTATTTTTGCAGCACGTACACGGAAAAATTATGTCACCATGATTACGATTTTATTTTACACACGAATGACTGTTTCTTTTGTAGAAATTGTAACAAAATATCGCTGGCTGAAGATGGTTACTTGGTACTGGTAACATCAGTATGTTTTGAGTAAATATAAGTTTTGTGTCTCTTAAAGAAGCATTTTAAAGGGTGAAAGTGGGGATACTTTCCCCACTATTGCCTTAGTTTAACTGCTTTCTATTGATCTTTTGTTATTTTAAGAGAGGCAAGCCCACAAATAATTAAGGATGCATGTAGTATCACAGAAAATGTTTTAAAACAATTATTTTGCCAATAAAAAAAAAATATAAAACTTTTCTTACAAATTTATGTGAATCCTATGTATTTTGCCGCTATAAATGAATATGAAATTACATTTTAGGTATGACCCACAGTTTTTTCACAATATGACACTAATTTATTCTTCTTCTTATAGTGCGGTGCACCTATAGTCATCATCATCATCATCATTTAACCCGGTTCTATCCACTGCTGAATATAGGTCTCCCTCAGTCTTTTCCATGTATTTCTGTTTTGTGCTGCTTGCATAAAATTTTTGTCGATCCGTTTTATGTCATTAGACCATCTTGTTGGTAGGCGACCTCTACTTCGATGTGCTTCTTGTATCGGTCTCCACTGTATTATTCGCTGTGTCCAGCTGTTATCCGACATTCTAGCTATGTGCCCCGCCCAGTTCTACTTAAGGGTCATAATTTTTTCTATGACATCTGTCACTCCTGTTCTCTGTCTTATTTCCTTGTTCGTGATCCAATCCCTACGAGAAATGCCTAACATCGATCGTTCCATGGCTCTTTGAGTAACACAAATTTTATTTCTTACTTTCTTGGTTAGTGTTAATGTATCTGCACCATATGTAAGTACTGGCAACACGCACTGATCAAAGACTTTTCTTTTAAGACACATAGGCGGTTCTGATTTAAGAACATAGCTCAGCTTGCCGAATGACACCAAGTGAGTCCTATGCGGCGGCTTAGTTCGCACGTTTGATTATTTCTTCCTATGCGTATCTCATGTCCCAAGTACTTATAAGTGGTGGTTTCTTCAATATGCATGCCATTTGGAGGATTTGGATTTGGAGGATTCTGTCAGCAAAAACGACAATATCGTCAGCAAACCCCAAATGACTAAGCATTTCTCCATTGACATTAATTCCTTTTTCACTCAGATTTGCGTTCTTAAACATATGCTCTAATAATGTTGTAAACAATTTTGGCGAAATTGTATCTCCCTGTCGCACTCCCTGTTTTATTTTAAATACGTTGGTCTTTTTATCTACCAGTTTCACGCTTGCTATCCCATTTTGATAGATGTATTTTATCATGTTTATATAGCGATGATCTATACGACACTCTGTTAAGGCTTTTAACATCTTTTGATGACTTATTGTGTCGAAAGTTTTTTCGTAGTCAACAAATATCATGACTAATGGCTTGCTATATTCAACAGTCTGTTCTATTAAGTTCTTAATTACTTGTAAATTATCATTCGTGCCATATCCTGCTCTAAAACCTGCTTGCTCTCTTGGCTGATAGAAATCCAACTTACTTCCTAGCCTGTTGGTAATAAATCTTGTAAATAGCTTATATACTTGTGACAATAAGCTAATGGGACGGTAGTTTCTAAGGTCGCTGATATCTTCCTTCTTATGAAGTAAGATGATTTCCGTGTTGTTCCACTGCGTCAGTATTATCGCTTCGCACAGACATTTATTGAACAGTTTAGCAAGTGTCAGTAAGAGCTTATTTCCTCCTAGTTTTAGGCTTTTGGTCATTACAATGTCTTCACCTGGGGATTTTTTGTTCTTCATCACCCGAAGCGCATTTTTAATTTCGTCAACAGTTATGTTCGGCATTAATTCTGAGCCTTGATTCTCTATCTTTGTTAAAGGGCGTCTTTCATCGGATTCACTTGTTTCATAGAGTTGTCTGTAGAAGTCTTCCACTGTTTTCACTATTTCTTCCTTATCAGTGACAATGTCGTCTTGTTTATTTCTTAACTTATGTATGTTCTTTTTTCCTGTGGACATGTTGTGTCTTAGAATTTTCAGACTTCTATTTTTCTCTATCACCCTTGTCACCTCTCTCATGTTATGTTGCCGTATGTCTTTTCGGATTTCTTTGTTTATTGTTTTACTTCTTCTTCTTTAAGTTCCATCTTCTATCGAAGGTTGGAAATCATCATGGCTATGCGGACTCTGTTGACTGCCGCTCTAAAAAGTTCTGCACTACTGCATTCAAACCATTCCCTTAAGTTCTTAAGCCAGGATATTCTTCGTCTTCCCACATTTCGCTTTCCTCGGATTTTGCCCTGCATAATAAGTTGTAATAATGCGTATTTTTGCCTTCTCACCACATGTCCCAAGTACTCAAGTTTTCGTCTTTTAATAGTTAATATTATTTCCGCCTCATTTCCTATCCTATATTGTTTTACTGAGTTGACTAAATTCTGCGTAGTTTGTGTTATACCTGTCCTTTAGCCTCCTTCTTTCTTCGATCAGATTTTTAGTGTTGAGACTTATTTTCTCATGTTTTTTCTTCATTTTAGGACAGCACAACTTCTCCACTTCTTTAAGGGCCTTTACGATACTTTCGTTTAAAACTTCGAACTGTGTTTCGTCGTTGATTTGTTGAAGGTTATGGTCAATGATGTCACGAAAGTGGTCTGTATTTTCGGGCGGGGTCCATTTACGATTCTCTGATTTTATTATTTTTATTCGTTCATTCTTTAAATTGGACAGAATTTTTGCTCGAATCAGTCTGTGATCGCTTCCAATTGTAAATCTGTTTAAAACAGATACATCTTGTACAATTTTGTTTTTATTAGCAATGATAAAATCTATTCGTTGTACACGTCCACTTTCGTTGGGGCTTTTTTTGAAAGAATGAGTTCATAGAAAAAAGATTTTCTTGGTGTAAAAAATCTACAAGCATGGTCCTCTTTCATTTCTTTCTCCAAAGCCGTAGTTTCCTAGTGCGGTTTTACTTTGGTCTTCTTTATTTCCCAGCTTAGCATTAAAATCTCCTGTTATCAGAGTATAAAACGTCTTAGTACTTGTCAGGGCTGTTCTAATATCTTCAAAGAACATTTCAATCTCTTCATCTGCGTGGCTTGTCGTTGGTGAATACACTTGTATCAATTTTAATTTGTATCTCGAATTCAACTTTAAGATTAGAGTAATAACTCTCGAGCTTTCGTGCGTTTGGCGAATTATCTTAAGGCTAGACGTCTGTCTTTGCTCAATGAAAAAGATCGCCAGTGTTATTTATGCCTGTCCAGTTCTTTATGTTCTGTAGCCACGACATTTGTTTGCAACCTACTCCTCTCTTCCCTACAATCTTTCCCTGAATAATTAGTTGAGGGATTGCGTATTTTTTTTTCTCAGAATATGGCCGAGGTATGCAATTTTTCCTACCTTGATTAAATTGAGTAGTTCTCTCTCAGTATTTGCCTTTCTTAGGACTTCCCCGTTCCTCACCCTTTCTGTCTATGGTATGCGGAACATTCTTCGCAACGTCCACATTTTGAAGGCCTCCATCCAATTTATTAATGGAAGGTACTCTTAACGTCCCTGTTTCCATGCTGTGTAACAATATGGACCATACATAGCATTTAACCATCCTGTAGCGGAGATTGAAATAAAGATTGCGGTTACATATTAGCGGTTTAAATTTGATAAAATCTTGTCTTGCTTGTTCGGTACGGCATTTTATTTCTTGTTGAGGATCCAATTGGTCATTCATGATCATTCCCAAGTATTTAAATGTTTTTACTTGATCGATTGGAGCATTATCTACTTGCAGTTGTATTCTAAAAAGTGCGTTTTACTTTATTGCCATACATTTAGTTTTTGCAGCATTTATCTTCAAGCCATGTATTTTTCCTACGGTGTTTATTTTATTTAACATCAACTGCATATCATGTTCGTTGTCTGTTATTATCGCGGTGTCGTCAGCGTAACAAATATTAAATATCGATAACCCATTTACCTTTATTCCACACTCAGAGCCTTCCAGCGCCTCTAAAAAACTGTTCTCCACATAGAGATTGAAGAGTATAGAAGACAAAATACACCCCTGTGGCACTCTCTTAAAATTTCAAATACCTTTGTGTTCGTTGATTTGTTCAGTCTCACTCTTGCTTTTTGATTCCAATAGAGATTCTGGATAACTCTTATATCTTTCTCGTCAATGATAGCATTTTTATCATTGCGTCATGTTTTACGATGTCAACCGCTTTTTCATAATCAAGGAATGTTATGACTATATCCTTTCGTTGCTTCACGTGTACCCAGTCCGCTCTTGTAACTAAATTGTGTCTCACCACTAAGATCTTTCAGCTTTCTGAACATTATTGTATGACGGATGCGAAGAAACACCTTAAGCAAATGGCTCATTAAACGTATCAGTCTGTGATCTTTAAATTTTGTCGCTCTTTGTGATTTATTCATTTATTCTACAATATAATAATTTGAAAAAAGTAAAATACAAAAATACATTAATATGATACATTATTAGAATAATACCTTTTATCTAATTCTTATGTTGTAATAGTATAGGTATGTACAATCATTTCAGGAGTCAATGCTTTTGCATTTTCTTCCTCTTTTTTTTGTAAAACTTCTCAAGTAGCTTTCTGTCCTATGCGAGTCACTCTGTTGTTCCCAATGAAGTGACCAACAGTAATCACCCATCATGTTGGTATTCCAATGTCCCTGGTATCGTTTCTCCATCACCTTGATGTCCTGGTGGAATCGTTCGCTTTGTTCTTCACTGACTATTTGGATACTAAATCACCTAGATTTTCAGGCAAAAAGTCCAGATGGTTATGCAAAAAGTGGATTTTGAGGCTCATTGGACATCCAAAATCTTCAAATTTATCTAATATATTACCTACTATAAGCTCTTAGGGTTTTTCAAATTATCTAAAAACTTGGTTACAACTTTTTTGAATGCAATCTAAGCTTTTTTTGCTTAGTAGTTATCATGGTTTCAAAGGTGGAGTCGAACATCATTTTACGAATATTTGGTCTAACAAAAATATCTTATTTCAATTTGGCTTCTGATAGATGTTGAAACTTTCCACCCAAGTATTTGAAACTTCAAACATTCTCAAGGATTTTATTGTCTTTTTTACTTCCAAGTATTTATATTTCTTTGTTCATTTTATTGGGTTATTATTTACTTTTAGAACTTTTGTGGTGTTTCAATGACTCATTGAGATCGCTGGTTTAATAATTATAATAATTAATTGAAAATAACAAAAGTACCTGGAGTAACTCATTAATGTTCTCTGTACAAAGAAATCACTTACCATTTATTGAAGTGTGCTAATCGGCAGGGTGGAAAATAGTGTCTGAGCCCCTTGGTGGGTAGAAAATCGAATGCGGCGTGTCGCGACGACAAGGAAGGTCGGCGTCCACGTTAAACTGGAGATGTCTACAATCCACTGTTTCGTTTCGATCTGTGTGTCTGGTTCATGGCTTAGGGATTAAGCTCCATTGTTAGAAAAGGGCTACTTGCGGGTGGTCCATCCAAAGTAAGTGTAATAGATTAGGCTTTTAAAACAGTCACTTTCTGTCGCAATGATATCAAATTGCCCATACAATTTAGCAGAAATTTGATATTTTGAAGCGTTTTTATGTTTTTAGCAAGGAAGGAACCATTTACCCTTATAAAATTTTTTAAAGATAAGTGAAGACATTAGAAGAAAATGAAACGTACAGTGTATACATGAATGGACACTAAATAGAAAAAAAAATGGACTAAGCACATAAGCAGAATGGGAGAGACTCCTGTCAAAATGGCAAGAGATAAATGACGAATTGGTAAAAGAAGTATTGGACGACCGCGCAAAAGATGGAGAGACAATCCGCCAATGAACAAACAGAATTGCTTATAAAGAGGAGGAAGAAGAAGAAGAAGATCAAATACATTTTGATTAAACAAACCTAGGTTACTTTTGATAATATATGTTTATTTCTCATTATTTTATTTAATTAATATATATTCTTTATAATATTCTTTTCTCTCGTGTCCAAAACGTCAAATTATACTTCCGTAGTTCTTGTTCATGATCTGATTTTAGGTACAGAACTTCAGTTCCAGGAAATGTCTGAGAATCCCAGTGAATAAACAACTGCCATACTCCTTCATCAGTTACATCCTTTATGTGTATTTTTTCTTCCGGAGAATAATTTCTACCTCTGGCTTTGGGAGTGTAGACAACTTCTGAATCCAAAATTCGTTTAAACGGTATTAATATGTCATCGAAATTGATCTTTAAATATTCACGCAGTATATGGAATCCTCTTGGAAATACTATAACAAAAATAAAAACAATATTTTTATTATTACCTCCAAAAACGTGATGCTCGAATAGTAAGTTTTATCTCATGGCTGCTTCCTTAACGTCCAGCATCGTGTCTCTGGAGTGATGTGCTTCGAAAAGACTATGGTGAGTGCGTGCAGTTTCAATAGTAACTGTATACCTTTATCTGACGTTATAAAATCAGCTCTGAGTATGGTGCGGAAACAAATATAATATTCGTAAAATTTAGTTCGCTTAGGTAAATATATTTTCATTGTATAGTGAGAGCAAAAATAAATATTAACATGAAAGAAGAGAGAAAAAGGATTAAAAAAAAACAACGAGGATAGATGTTTTAAACTAAGAACAAATGAAGAGCAATTCCGAGAGGTCTTAGCGGATAAGTTCGAATCTGATCCTTCACATAATCAAGATCAAATTGACGAGATTAATAAAAACCTAAATAAAAACCTTCTCGCAGCAGGACTACAGGTCGTAAAGAAAACAAGGACTAAGGAAGACAAAATAAGCAATGAAACTAAACAGCTAATGACGGAAAGAAGACAACTACTAGCGCAAAACAAACACCATACTTGAACGAGAAATTAATAGAGCGAGTCATTGAAAACAACAGAGGCTTAAAATGTCTAAGACCCGTACTGGTAGTTCAAAAAATCATCAAAATTAAAGACGCTAACAATAAGGTAGAGAAGGACAAATATAAAATAACAAATATTGTCGAAGACTTCTACACATCCTTGTACAGCTCGTAAGGCCAGCCTAATGAAACAACAAAGGAAAACGTCAAAAGAAAAATAAAAAACGTGGGATCAGAAGTATTACCAAATATAAAGGGATACGAAATAGAAAGAGCTTTAAAAGAACTAAAAAATAATAAAGCTCCAGGACACGACGGTATAATTACCGAGCTCTTGAAAACAAGCAAGACATTAACAATCCCTGTACTAACAGAGCTATTTAATAGATGTCTCCATAATAGCCAGATCCCTAAAGACTGGAACGAGAGTCTAGTAATACTCTTACACAAAAAAGGGGACAAATGTGATCTACAGAATTATAGACCTATATCGTTGCTCAGTAAAGTATACAAACTATTTATGAGAATTATTATTAATAACCGGTTAACCTACAAAATGGATAATTACCAACCGGTTGAACAGGCTGGCTTCCGCAAAGGATATAGTACATCAGACCATCTGCTGACAATGAGAACATTGATAGAGAAGGCAAATGAATACCAACTACCCGTATTTCTTGCCTTCGTCGACTATGAAAAGGCGTTTGATAGTATCGAGATGTCAGCCATAGAACAAGCTATTAATAATTGTAGAATGGACTCGAGATATAGGCAACTAATACATAGTATATATGAAAATGCAACTATGATAGTACAACTAGACGAAAATACAAATCCCATCCCCATTAAGAGAGGAGTGAGACAAGAAGACGTAATATCGCCAAAGCTTTTCAACCTAGCCCTAGAAGACGTCTTCAAAACTACAAATTGGTCAACCTATGGCATTAACGTTAATGGCAACAAGTAAAGCCAACTCAGATTCGCTGACGACATCTAATCTATCTAATTAGCCTTCTTCGGTCCATCTTTGGACATAGGCCTCCCCAATCCTTTTCCATTCTTCTTTGTCTGTCGCTACGGTCATCCATCTAGAGCCCACGTGCTTCTTGATACCATCTGCCATCTCATTTGGGGCCTTCCTCTGCTTCGTTTATATTCCCACGGTCTCCAACTTATAAGAGTTTTGTTCCATGGGTCTTCTTTTTGTCTTATATTGTGTCTGGCAAATCTCCATTTCAATTTTGCAACTTCTTGTCTAACATCCCTCACTTTTGTTTTCTCTCTTATCCACTAGTTTCTCTTCTTATCCATTAGTCTTATGTGCAACATTTGTCTTTCCATTGCTCTTTGGGTTTTTATGATCTTGTCCATGTTTGCTTTTGTAAATGTCCAAGTTTGAGAGCCATACGTAAGAACAGGGAGTACGCATTGATTATATACTTTGGTCTTAAGATGCTGTGGATATCTTTTGTTTTTAAGAATGTAGCTTAGTTTGCCAAATGCCGCCCATGCCAGTTTAACTCGTCTCTTGATCTGTGCTGTTTGGTTCTGTTTGTTAAGTTTTATAGTTTGACCAAGATATATATATATATATATATATATATATATATATATATATATATATATATATATATATATAATCCTTAACTTGTTCTATTTCATCTTGTCCGATTCTCATTGTGATGTCTTCATCTGTATTTGTTATAGTTTTGGTCTTGCTATAATTCATATTAAGGCCTATCTTTCCAGCTTCTACGTCCAGTTCTTTCATCATTTCAAATAATTCTTCTTTTTTATCGGTTATCAATACGATGTCATCAGCGTACCTTAGATGGTTCAAGCGTTGTCCACAAATTTTCATACCTTTTTTTTCCCATTCTAATCTTTTAAAAGTATCTTCAAGAGCCTGATTGAAAAGTTTCGGTGATATTGTATCACCCTGTGTCACGCCTCTACTTATTTGTAGTGATTTTGTTCGCTGACGACATAGTGATTATTATAGCGAGCACATTCAAGGAACTGCAAATTATGTTGGGGGAACTAGCAGCCAGCTCCCAATACGTCGGTCTAAAAATGAATATGAAAAAAAAAAACAAAAATAATGACAAACACAGAATACCCCAGACATATAACTATAAACGGCAATGAGATAGAACAAATCCAGGAATATATCTACCTAGGCCAAATCCTGAGACTTGACAAAGAGAACCAAAGTGCGGAAATTACTAGAAGAGCAAGACTACCATGGGCAGGATTTGGAAAACTTAGTTGGATACTTAAGAACCGCAAAATACCCCAATAATTTAGGAGCAAAGTGTTCAACCAATGCATTTTTCCTATCATGACATATGGATGTCAAACCTGGAACCTAACCAAGGCAAACATGAGTATACTAGCCACAAGAGAAAGAACAATGAAAAGAGCAATGTTAGGTATATGACTGTCAGATAAAAAGAGAAACGACTGGGTAAGATCCAAAACAAAAGTCGAGGACATAACAATAAAATATGCAGAACTTAAATGGAGCTTCGCAGGCCACACTGCTAGACAGAAAAACCAACGTTGGAATACTACAATACAACATTGGAGACCTTACGAAAGTAAACGACCAAGAGGAAGACTACAGATGAGATGGGTTGATGACATTAAAAGAATAGCCGGAACAAATTGGAAATATGTTGCTCAGGATAGAGACCGATGGAAGGAGTTGGGAGAGGCCTATGTCCAAACATATATTTTAATAGAATAAAGTTTTAACAAATGTTTCAATAATTGTGAATATGAAATATGAAAATACGATATGGAATACAATAAACTGTTTGTACATCATATTTTAGGAAAGACGGCACCACTTAGCCCTTCCTCATAAGCCGCCACTGAAAATAACATAAAAAATATAAAAACTACGATTATGGGAAACAAAGAACAAACCGTACAACGTTAGAGGAAGGTCGCCTAATATTAGGATAGCGCCTAATATTGGATAGCTAAATATTCTAAAAACAAATGGAATAACAGTTGCCATTTATCAACATAAGGCTAGATTATGGTTCAAAACTTAATATAGAAGTCGTTGTAGAATCTAAAAATCAACCAATACTTAGCAAATTTATTGCACCGCACAACCCCAAATTTTTACTGGGATACCTCGAAAAATCAACACTACGTCATAAGCATGAACGGTAGTTGAACCTGGTTGAACGTCAACAAATATTCACCGGTTATGCGGTGATTAGATTTTCAAACAATTTGCCACATTCATTTTCTAATCTAAGGTCCGCTTGCCATTATGCTAAATTCAGTACTGAATTTAGTACTAAAAATATTGTATCTACAAATTAGGTGCGCGCGCCGATTCAGTACTAAAAATTAGAACATGTTCTAATTTCTTGTACTAAAAATGATCCAATATTAACTAAAACAGAGGTTATGTTACGTATGTTTATGTTTTGTTTTTCAATATGTGGAGTCAAAAGCAAATAGAAAATTTAATCGAACTATATAAAGCAAATCTTTGTTTATTTGTGCCAAAACATCCATTATACAAAAATAGGAATGGGAGAGTAAAAGCTTTGGAAGAAATAAAGGCGGAATTGTACAAACTCCTGTTTGTTTTGTTTACTCTAATCATAAAACTATAAAACAAACTTCAGATAGGTTAGACTGTCAATACAAAATTGGTAGAGCGCATGCGTACAGGCTAATTAAAATCACGATAGTTGCAAACACCAACATGCATTTTTCATACTAAATCGACTCGCGCAACTAACTAATATTTTTAGCACTGAAATCAGTACTGAAATTAGCATAATGGCAAGCGGACCTTATACTCTTCTTTTCGATCCTACTTATTTACGCATTAGGTGGATAATTTTATTTTATAGACTGTAGCATTTTGAAATTCCTTGATATATATTAAAACCCCCCGTATATATTTAAAATATTGAAGAATAATTTTAGTGTATTTCACTTCCTATCGTACAAGTTAAAATACCCAAAAGTCCACTAGGAAACTAAGTTCCTGTAGCTGGCTGTATACCATGTATCACAAAATTTTTTATTTCAAATCCTTTATAATCCTTTATTATATATCCAAAAGTGTTTTCAATCCTTTTATTTGGGTCACTAGAGTTAATGTAAACCATTTTATAGTTTGTTTATATTTCACAGATGTGTATTTCCTCGGCATTTCTTTTAATCTAAGCCAATTTGTAATGTTTCTCGTCCCTTTTCATGGAAAATGTGTAGTGTATAGTAGCAGTTCAATGTGTAGTTGTAGTTTAAATGAGGTTTGAAAGAATCGTTGTTTCCATCCTCGTTTTGTTTCTCCCTGGTTGTCATCCCAGGCTTTTTGGCAGTTTGGAGATAAATTTGTTCGTGTGTTCATTACGCAGACAGCCTTATCGCCTAAAGGTATCTTCTAGAATTATTGCAATCCTCCTAGAGGTTGAAAAAAATCAAATATAATCCAATATTAGGAGACTTTACTCTATTAGATATAAATCCAAATGAAAGTGGTGTGAAAAAGGAGACGGTTTACCTATTTGGTAATGAAACTGTAAGAGCATTAGAAATGGAATAAAAAGTATGGATTATGCAAACTATAGTTTATTTTTATGAACGAAAGAGTAATTAGCATAATTTTAACTTGTAACTTTGACCACTCCATGGGCGTGCTCAAGATTAATTGAAAAATTACTTTGAATAATAATTGTAAAAAATAAATGAATTATTTCAGTGTTATAAAGTGTTATGTGTATGTAAACAAAAGTGACCTCTTTTATCACACACTATATTAGAACTGACTGGCCTACATTAAAAAGAGTTTTAAAAAATTCTCATTTTTTTTAATTTTTAAAAATTACAAAAGAGAAAAAGAGTTCTTAAAACCGTCTAAGGTATGTTAAATAGATGAATAAAAATATTAATATAAAACTTACAGCTACTTGTTACAAATCCAGATCAGATTCAGAAGATGAACTTTCAGAACCAAGATTTATAATAACTGGCTCGATCATTTTATCAGTAATATTGTCCAGCTTCCACATTTTTTCCTCTTCTTTAATAGTGTGATTTACTGCCTTTTCCCAGTTTTCAGGTTTTACATTATTTACGGCCTCCAAAAACAACTGTTTAACATCATGAATTTTAAAAGTGGTATTTTTTCTTGAAACTTCACTCTTTATCTGTGCCCATACCAGTTCAATCGGGTGTAATTCACAATGATATGGTGGGGATCTAAGTACTGTCATTCCACGATTTTTGGCAATTTCATTAATTTCGTATTTTTTAAATTTTTCTTTATGAAGGGCACACAACGAATAAAGTTCCTTTCTTATAGATCCGGGATGGTACGTAATATTTTTTGAACTCAGCCAATTCTGCAAGTCTTTTTTTAACCACTTGGTTGTGGGCAGTCCTTCTATAAGTCTGGAGTGATAACTTGCATTATCCATTACTATTACACAGTTCTTAGGAAGAAGATCTATCATTTGTTCGAACCATTCTTGAAAGACATCAGCGTTCATGTCTTCACGGTAGTCACCGGTACGAGTTGATTCAAAAGTTAATAAACCACCTTCAACAAAACCGTCTGAACTGCCAATGTGTACTATTATCAGCCTACGTCGCTTTCCTGATGGTGGGTTTAAACCAGTAGGTAAGTTATTTACAAAAGCGTGCCTTTGACTTGTAACAGTTTCATCCTGCCAAAATTTATTTGGTGTATGACCCTCGTTGATCCATGTTTCATCAAGATAAAATATTTATCTTTTTTGGTTTCTCATTTCCTTTATGGTTCTTAGAAAATGTCTTCTCCATATGACAATATCGCTTCGTTCTAATAAAATAGACTTTCTGGGATTCTTTTTCCAGCGGAAGCCTATTTCTTTTAAAAGTTTCCATAACGTACTTCGACTCATTTCTGGGTAATCCTTATCATCTCGAACTGAGACAAGAACTTTATCCAATGTTGGAAATTCTTGTCTAAAGAAGAATTCATGCACTTTCCGTCGAAGTCCTTCTTTAAAATGATATTCTATTTGAAATTTTGTGAACTACCACATTTCTCTTCTTTAATAACGCTGTAAATCGTAGATTTCCCAACACCAAGTGTACTGCTAACTAACTCAACGGTCTCATCTACACTTTCACATAAACGTTTGTCTGTAGATGATTTAAAACAATTAAATATTAATGTTTTTTCATTAACTGTTAAAGGACCAATTTTTCGGCGTTTACACGGCACTTCCAAATTTTCCATAACACTAGTATACACAATAAACTGCACCTTGCAACTGAAGTACCTACTTTTAGTGAACTGTTAAGAATTTTGAATACCCACTTGGACCTTCCTACAAAATGGAAAAACCCACTATTACATTTTCTGTGGAATAAGTTTAGAAGTTAATTATCCAGTCAATTACTGTCGTAGATTCCTTGAATTAAATAATTAAATGTTTGATTGTTGAAACCCTTACTTCGTGGAATGCACTCGTTTCAGATAAAATAAAACGTTTTATTTTATCTAAAGAATTAAACTTTATTTTGCAAATAGGTAGGTACTTATTAAACTTTTATTGGTTATATATAACCAATAAAATAAACATCTTACATTTCTTGCAAATTCATTAGTACCTGTTAACCTCCATCACTCCGACACTGGCAACCTTATTTAGGGATTAGTAACCCTCATAACTATTGTATTCTATTCTGCTCCAACCTCTATACCTGGTGGTCATACTCAATTTAAAATTGATTTCCTATATACTTCTGTAAACTTGTTGACAAATATCTGTTTTTCATTGAGTCACCCGTATCAACAGTTTAGGGATTTGCATACATAATTTATTGTTTTATTACTCTCTCATACATAAAATACACTATAACACTGGAAAGATAAATAAAAAGAAAACGTGAACTAGAATGCAGCAATAGAAAATGTATTGATTAAATTGACATGAATGAAAAACAGTTTTTAAGATAGCGATTGGTAGCGGTAATATCAATATTGCTCACCTAAATGTTTATTCCAAAAAGCACGTTCATTAGAATCCGCGTGTATATACATCATTCTTCGTAAACCTTCTAATAATTTAGGATTTTGAAAAGGTATAGCAGCTTTGATAACTCTTGGGCATAGAGAATTGATTGCACCTCTTTTACACTTACAACCAGCGTGAGTGTCAAAATTGGAAGGAATACGTATTTTGAGTTCTTCGAAAGTATCTTCAGATAATGTCGACTCGATGGTTAACTTGATGCAAAAAACACCTATTTCTTTACTTACAAAATATACATAGTATTCGTAAGTTCCGTGAGTGACAAAACAAAGATTTATTCTCAACTTGTAAGTACCGTTTTCTGTAAATTTTATGAATGTATCTATATTTAGCTGTCTTGGTAAATTTGGAAATGAATTTAAAGAAACAAAATCTTCCATTGTTGAAGGTAGGCTAGTGGGATCATATATATAATAGCAAGTATATGCTTCATAACTTTGACAATACGGTGACGTCACTGTTAGGAATTTTTCGGTGTATTGATACATATTTAGCTCAATTATGTATTCATCTGTACAATACAGGATATTGGGTATTCCCGTCAAATTAATGGCAGAGCTTCTACAGTATTTATAAAGTCCAGTTTCACCAGACAACACTAACACAGCATTTTCATTTATGATCTGTTTGGCTGTGTAATATATTTGAACATTCTTTTCTTTTTGTGGTTCAATCACGACAATATTGGTGTTTATACGAAAACTACCGTTGTCATTTAAAAACAAATTCGCCTTAAAACTGATAGGAGTATTCCCTGGATTTTTTAACATCACATGCACCGAAGAGGATTCACCTAGGTTAGATTGAATGGTTAGTTGATCGGTTGGATAAAAGCCTGGAAGCACAGTATAGAGGTACATCAACAAAATTGTCATTTCAGTGTTTGTGGGTGATACAATGTTATTAGTAGAAATTGTATAAGATAATTCTAGTTTATTCCATGCCTCCGATACCAAACAAGCGTTGTGAAGAAGTTGTCCGTGATCGGTAAATGGCTCGAAGTAGATTTCTTTAAATAAGTCTTCCAAATAGGGACAATACGTAGCTAGTAATGTTATTAACGGGAGGCTATCCCTGATATCTACGCTTAAATCTCTAATTTCCCTAAAAAATTTAAATATATTATTATAATATATTAATAATATAATATATAATATATTAATATTTCTCTAATCCTGCCTGTATTGTTGTGGGATGCATTGAAAAGCCTGGATAAAAGAGGAGGGATAGAGGAGTAACACCTCTAAAAAAAAACAAGGTTCAGCTGACCCGGCTGATAGCACCCTGTGAGGGTCCCTGCCTGGGGTACAGGTGAAAACCGTGGATGGCTGGAATAGCAGAAGATGGCTGGAAAAGTAACAATGGTCGGGAGAGCGGAAGAACCAACAACATCTGATCTAGAATTTGCGGTTGAAGAAATGGTCCTCCAAAAGAAGGTTGTGGCGTTAGGAATTAGCAACCTAACACATAGAAAAACGTAAAAGTAAGAAGAACGAAAATCGCAAGATAAAAATACGGAAACACATCCCCCGGGTGGAAATCCACACCTCTGATACCATCTCGGATACAGGGGGAGGTAGAACATTCATATGTGCAAAGATGGAATAAAAATAGAAACCAAAAAGAAAGGAAATGGAATGAAAATAATAGAAGACCATATCCACTGCTGCAGCGGAGTTAATAGGGAATGTAGAGCAAAGACAGTAGTGGGAATACTAATCAAAAATAAGTGGAAAAACAGGGTTAAAACATGGGACTCAATCAACGAGGGGAAAATTAAAATACATGTAGACCTTACGGTAAAAAGACAGTGATACTCGGAATATATTCATCAACAGAGGATTCCCCGAAAGTCGAAAAAGAAAATTTCACGGAACAACTTCAACACCAAATAGAGCTTATCAAGAAGAACGTGGAGATAATCATAACAGGAGACCTTAACGGCAGAACCAGAAGGAAAGAAAACGATAAAGTAGTTGGGAAATTTGGAGAGGATGAACAAAACGATAACGGAGAACATCTGATTGAATTATGCAAACTAAACAACCTAAAAATCACCTACGAATTCTTCAACATAAAAACGGAAATCAATAATAGACTACGTAATAGTCAAACCATAATAAAGATAAAAGATGTGAGAGTCAGAAGAGAGTAGGAGTGAAACAACATATTACAAATAAACAGCACTATTATGAAATAAATGAACCAAGAAAAGAATAATTGAAGAAGAAAAAACAACTATACAAAAAATGGCTGACTACAAACAACGATGAAGTTTATAAAGAATAGAGAGAAAAAGATAGACAAGTGAAAAGATAAATAACATAACAAAAGAACGAAGAATGGGAAAGAACCTGCTTAAATATTGCAACATACATATTAGGTACACGAACTTCGGAGTCATGGAAAGTACTGAGAGGATTGAAACAAAACAAGGAACATTACAAGGAACTGTTAATAGAACAAAGATCACAATTCATTAGACCACAAGTATTACAAGGAAAAACTTGGCAGATCTTGGAAGAAGAAGAACAGTCTCCTGGATAAAGAACCCGAGGACACGGTTTTAAACAAATACTTCAGAGCTTTCTGACACAGCTGCCAATAATTAGAAATAACCACGCAAATCGTTACCTGTAAAAGATGAAGAATCTCTCATACACATAGATAAAGCAAAATAATGAAAAAAAGTAATAATATAGATCAAGAATCATAAAACAATACTTGAATGATACTGAACATTACAAACCTTGCTGGTACATGTTTTTCTGGCCACAATTTATCTTTTTTCGACTGAAAATGAAATTCCAGCCATAACAATAGATTAATCTCAGCTTTATCCATTTTGTCTGAAAAACAATCTATATTTTGATCATGATATTCTTTAAGCGATTCTTCGAAATGGTCGTGTATAACGATTTTTCCTGCTTTATAGATTTTATCTGACAACAATCGATCATAAAAAAATAATTTGTAAATCCTTAATAAAAAATCTAGCCACGTTTCTTTACTGAGAACTGAAAATTCTTCTTCGGAAACCGTTTCACCATTAGTAGTATTTGTAATGTCTTCAATGCTTTCTCTAAAAGTAATGTATCTGATATACGTTAAAAGGAATTCTGGTCTTATATCGTTTGTAAACATCCCATATCGTTCCAAATAGTTTAGAACGTTTCTATATACTGCATAGTCATACGCAGTACCCAGATTGTCGTCTAATGAGGCGCTAGTATTCCTAAAATAAAAATAATATTTGATATGAATATTTACCTAAACTTTATTACTTAGACCAGAGTTTATTAACTTGTAGTGTAACGAAAGTATTTTGCCTACCATAGGGGCATTAATACGGGAGATAGAAAATTGGGGGAAAAAACTATTGGGGGTGGAGATAGGGCAAGCAAAATAAACGCTACTTATGCGAACGGCACTCAGGGTTTCGTAGGAGAGCTGGGGTCGTGGATAAGTAAAAGGTAAAGGGGTTAGAATGGGGCAACTACAAGAAAATGAAATAAAGGGGTCATTAATCTCTTGGAACAAACACAATAAAAATAAACAAGAAACACCTCAAGGAATTTAATATAGGGCGCCACTTGAGGTGCCTAATCATGCCTATTACAACCACTAGTTGTAACTAGGAAAATAATTAAAAAACAAATCAAGACATAAAAAACATATCTTTTTCAAATAAGAATCAAAAAAGGTTTGGCTCAAAAAAATAAATAAAAAGTTAGGACAACAAAATTTAACCTTTATTTATGTGTCACCACAGACAGTTACATGGAGAAATACGAAATTCAAAAACTTACATGTGTCATCCATTAACACACTCCATTGCTACAAAACTTACAAAATTGCATGGAGGTTAACCTTAAAAAAAAAAAACAAAACAAATCAACATCAAAAAGACTAAAACGAGCTGTCATAAATTAACATTAAATTTCAAAAAAAAAAACTAAACACAAATTGACAGCTTTACTCAAAACCTAAAATTTACAATTTTAAATGTCAACGAAAGCAATTATTATTTTATAAAAAAAATGTCTGTCTTTAGTTTAAAATTTGAACAAAATGTTACCTTAATTCACATGATCACACTTAACTTTCTGAAACCATAACTGGAACTGAGAGCTCCACTCTCTCTGCATCACGAAAACCTCCATCTCCAAACTGCCAAAAGCCTTGGATAAAAGCAGGAACAAAAAAAAAACAAAACGAGGATGTCCTCCAATCCTCACTCAAAACATTAATAATTGAAGCATTTACTGCCACAAAACCAATAACAAACTGTATTCTTCAATATAAACAATATTCTTCATAATAAAAGACGAAAACAGAACACTTTACAAATTCGACGTGAATTTGGACATAACGCTGAACCGCTCTTGAACGCGGCTCCAACGAGAGTGACGAAATTAAAAATTTTTTCGCTTAACTTGAATATAAACAAACAACGGAAATAAAAACGTAGATATCTTTTTGCGAAGCATAAACTTGAAAAGAAATTGCCGAAGTAAAATAAACAACTCTCAAATGGTTTTATTACTCGGCGACGAAACACTTTTGGGTACTTTGAAAGATACGAACTAACAACACGGAAAAATTCTTCGTTTCATTTTTTAAAAATATATAAGGAGTTTTTAATATATTTTTTTATACGAGGAGGTTTCAATATACTCAAAAGAATCAATGAAATTGAAAATGCTACAGTAGTGCGCGGACTCCTGGGGAGTGAAACTATAAAATATTAAGAAGTTAAGAATAATGTGAGATTACAAATTAAGGGGTTAATTTGTGATTGAACATATTGGCCACTATATAAAAAACAAACAGATGACCAATAGAAAATATTTAAACACATATAAAATATAAAATAATAATAACAATAATCACAACACTAATTTACTCGGTTTTTGAATTATTATCTCACCCAAGCAGTGCTAGCTATAATTTGATTATTTAGAATTTATGTTTCAACTAAACTATCTAATTCAAATCTAAGCTCATTAAGTGAAACTGATCTAGGAGTGGCTTTCTTTAAAGTACTACTTAAGTTTGGTTGTGATGAAGTAAGTCTTCGAGGCGCTGGATGAGGTTGGATGCAAGAACCTTGATGCCTTTGTTTTCTGGCTCTCTTGGAGTTTCTAATAAAGTGACTAATCCCGTGGTTAAATGAGGAATCCACTGATGGTTAGCAATGGTTTTCCACGTGTGTTCGGATATATCTTGGTCAAACTGCTCTGCCTCAAGTACAATATTTGGCAACTCATCTCACCGAATATCTATATTATGTATGGGAATGTTGTTCTGCCTTATGATTGGCCTCTGCATAAGCTCTTCAATGGGACTGACGGAAGTCTTTAAGTAGCTTCCAAATGCTCCGTTACTGGATGTGAGTAACGTTATGTTTCGAGTCTGAGCAACGCATTTTGGTGATAGTTTTATAAAACTCGTTTGATCGATTATATGTTCAGATCGAGAATAATCGCACATTATAGCTAAATTTATAGCGTATGGTGGAATGACTAACCACAGGTTCAGTCTGCTCATTTTCAACCAACTGGCTTCCTTTATCGTGTATTCTATTTTATTGCAAGTTCTATCATATAATTGATTTAAGATACAGTTTGTCTGAGTATCCATATTAATGATTCCCATTGGTGAACATGCCAACTCTCCTTTGTTTAATTCTATACACCTTCCTTTATCTTCATATGTCACTTCAAAATAATGTAAGTTATTGTAATCTACTGCAAGTAGATTCCTTGGGAACAACAACGAGCGCACAACACCACCTCTCACCGACAACGAAAGAGCTGCGACTTTTAGTAGGTTGTATCTAGTATTGTCAATTATTAGGAAATAGGCAATAATGACGACGTCTCCTTCTTCATTTTGTACGACCGTATGTATTATTGGCTGCCTTCTTATATCTACTCCTTGTGGAAGGAACCTCGGAGCATTCGAAATGATTGACCCCATTTGTCCAGGTTTTATAATACCTATGAAGGGTCCATGATTGTAATGAAGATTTAATATTTTTTCGTATGTGTTCGAATATTCTTTGCATATTCCATTGCACGGTTATAAGTCGTTTCCACTTTAAGTCGTATGTACTCTTTCTCTAATGTGTCAGCTCTATATGAGACACCACTTAGCCCTTTAGACATTTCCTTAGTTCCGTTTATCAGTGCTTCTCGAAACTTATCTAGATGTCCGTTTATTCTTTCTTCTGTAGAGTTAATCCAGGCTATTGTTTATAACATCAGCTTCGTCTGATTTTTTGAATTTTTAATTAGATCCTTCTGATTTTCGTCCAAGGAATCTATGTTCCTGTATACTTCTTCATTTATCCCAAATACTGATGTGAGGACTGTACCTAGAAGACCCCTCTTCGGCCTTTTTTTTTTGACTTTCAGATCTAAAGCTCGACTTATCATTTTTGCTCGTTCTTCTTCCTCTTTTAGCTGGCTTGATAGTGAATCACAATTTATTATATTGCTTGTCTTACACATATCTTTCAGCGTTTTTACCATTGAATCTATCGTGTGTTTACCATCTAAAATTTTTTTCTTTTCTAGATAAGTTTTCAATCATAAAAATCATAAAAAGCATCAAGCAGAGAAAGCTGGAATATTTCGGACATGTAATGAGAGGTCCCAAATATAGATTGCTACAAAATATCATGCAAGGAAAAATAGCAGGCAAACGCAGTCCAGGACGAAGAAGAACCTCATGGTTGAAGAACTTGCGAGATTGGTATGGTGTAGATACAAGCATGCTATTTAGGGTGGCAGTGAATAAAATTAAAATAGCTATGATGGTAACCAACGTTCTGAAAGGACATGGTACATGAAGAAGAGAAGATAAGTTTTTATTCTAAATATCCCTTGATCTATGTATACATCGCTTAGATGCTCTGAATATAATCTAAAAATTAGTATTGCATCCTATTTTTAGTAAAAATACTAAAAATAGGATGCAAAACATAAATTTTCTCCACATACTACGTGCTCTATTTGTCTTTCGTGACGTTGGCTCTCGTATTATTGGTATTAACTTTGTGTATAGAACGAGTAGTTACTTTTTAGTTCGCTTTTTGAACTGTTGCGACTCTTGTTAAACCTTTAGCTCCGAGATGTGTTTCGATTAACTTCGCTAGTAGCCATTTCCCTGGCGAGGTCTCATCCTCCTTTATTATCACCACTTTTTCTTTTTCTAGGTTTGTAACATGTTTTTGTCACTTATATCGTTGTTCTAGATTTGACAAGTAGTCATGTCTCCAACTATTTCAAAAATCTCTTTTTACTTTTTCTAACTGCCTCCACCTTTGTGGCATATTTGTGTATGTGCTCAACTCTTCCTCCCTATTTGGCGAAATTAGTTCTCTCCCAATTAAAAAGTGTCCTGGGGTTATTATTATTCTGTTCTCCGTAACTTTTCGTATCAGCGCATAAAGGTCGGGAATTCGTACATGCCTCTATTTGAGCTAGCACTGTGCTTAGCTCTTCGTAAATTAACGAACTATACCCAATTACTCTCTTCAAGTGATATTTCATAATTTTAACAGCACTTTCCCATAAACCTCCAAAATGTGGTCCATAGGCTGGTGTAAACTGCCAATGTGTTCCTAATGTTGTTAAGGAGTCTGTTAATGATGCCTTCACTTTCTCACTATTTTGGAATAACAGGTGATTCAACACTGTTACACATCTTCCCTTAAGTCTCGTAATCGCTACGCAAAACTTATTAGAAAACCAAATGTTAACTAAATTTTATGTAATAAAAATTAGTTAAAAGTTAGATTATTTCTTACACACGCTATATTACAAAATATTGTAAAGTAATAATTTAATAATGCAAAGTAAAATTTTCTGTGCTTACTTTTCGACAATTTCATTTACGATACTCCCATCAGACAGATTTCGTAAAAGACTAACAACTGGTAAGTGTATAACTTTCTTTTTTTCGGTTCTTCTTTCTTTCTCCTGACGATATAAGTCAAAAGGATATCTAAAGTACATAAAATTTTTTTAAATATTATATAAAAAAATAAAAAATGTAGATACAGAATCCGTGCCGGTGTTAGTTTCTAAGAAGGAGAGGTTCTGAACTGAGTAGGGGCTTCTCAGTACTTCTTGGAAAACACTCTCGGAGGGGGGCAGCTCTCAACCCCGACACGGCGCGTCCCAATGGCTAATAGGGAACGTCCTACAGATATGTAGGACAGGTGCGAATAAGGCTTTGCCAAATAAACACCCGCGGATCAACTGAGAGCATGGCATAGGGCAGCAGCTATGTCATTACAGGATCAGAGCGGTAGAGACAAGATCTCTGTATCGGTCTGATACCGGATAGTCACGGGCGGTAATCAAATTATGATTTAACCGGTTGTGATACTGCGGTGCAGAAAGCAACGGGAAACTACTGCACTATATTTTCCCTAGTAAAGTAACCTATGCAAAACAAAAATTTAACGGCCCCTAGTCCGCGGCAGACCTTAAGTGGTCAGGGGGTGCAAAGAATCCCCGCGAGGAGGAACCACCCGAAAGTGGAATACATTAATAACCAATCCTTGGTACGAATAGGCACTTGGAACGTACAAAGTATGTTTGAACCCGGTAAAGTTCAAAATACCATTCGTGAAATGAAAAGACTTGGAGTGGACATACTAGGTATAAGTGAGATGAGATGGTTTGGTTCTGGAAATGTATCCATTGATGACTACACAATATACTACTCGGGGAACGAACAGCAGAGACACTGGAATGGTGTAGGCCTTATAGTAACAGAGCAGATAAAAAAAGCAGTAATTGATTTCATACCCTATTCTGATCGAATGCTTCTTTTGAAATTACAGAGTAAGCCCGTAAACATAAACATACTCCAAGTTTATGCACCAACTGCTGACAAGTCGGATGATGAAATAGAGCAGTTCTATGAGAATCTCCAAGAATTACTTAAAATGACAAAGAGTTATGAAACAACATTAATCGTAGGAGATTTTAATGCCAAAGTGGGTTGTAGAAAAGTGGAACATATTTGTGGAAATTACGGACTGGGCAATCGCAATGATAGAGGTGACAGACTACTACAATTTTGCCAGGAGAAACAACTAACTATCATGAACACCTGGTTCAAGCTACCACTACGGAGGCTATATACGTGGAAATCACCCGCAGATAATAAAAACAATTGTGTCCGAAATCAAATCGATTACATTATTATAAACCAGCGATATAAAAACGCAGTAACGGATACAAGAACATACCCAGGCGCAGATGTTCCATCGGATCACAACCTACTAGTGGCTAAATTAAAAATAAAGTTCAAAACGCTAAAAAAGACTGTCAAAAGAAAAACCGACATTAATTTACTTAAACAAGAAAATATACAAAGTATGGTAAAGACTAAACTCAACGAGGAATGTGAAAGACTCCAAAGAGAGTTCTTACCAACTACAGAAGGCTTATGGACTGAAGTCAAGAATGCTTTTACTAGCGCCGAGAAATATATAAAAGACACTAATAACAAAAGAAAATCTAAACCCTGGATGACACAAAAAATTCTGGGAATGATGGATACTCGAAGAGCCTACAAAAATAAAGATAATGAAAAATATAGGGAGATACATCGTCAAATCAAGAAAGAAATAGCTACCGCAAAAGAAAATTGGATGATAGAAAACTGCCAAGAGATCGAAGAATTAATAAAGAAACATGACAGTCAAACGCTTCACAAAAAAATAAAAGATCTAGCTGGAATGACAAAACAAAGACTCCCTTGTAGATTAACAAACGACGAGAATGAAACGATATGGGAATTAAGCGATCTAAACAACGTATGGGGACATTACATAGAAGAACTATTCTCGGACACACCACTAAACAACATAATATATAAAAACCATGAAACCAGTCCTCCTATATTAAAACAAGAAGTAGAGAGAGCAATCAAAAACGCAAAAAATGGGAAAGCCCCTGGCCCCGATGACATACATACGGAAGTCATAAAGCTACTGGAAGAGAAACATTTAAATATAATCGTCAAATTATTTAATCAAATATATACAAGCGGTGAAATTCCACAAGACTGGTTAAAATCAGTCTTTATTCCCCTTCCAAAAACTAAGGGAGCAAAGAAGTGTGGTGATTTCAGACTTATTAGTTTAATGTCGCATATGTTAAAGTTATTCTTGAAAGTTATTCACCAACGCATTTATAAGAAATGTGAACAGGATATCAGTGATGAACAATTTGGCTTCCGAAATGGATTTGGGACACGGGAAGCATTAACCAGTTTTATTATACTGCTGCAAAAATGTCGAGACCAAAAAAAGGATCTCTTTTTATGTTTTATTGACTATCAAAAGGCCTTCGACAAAGTAAAACATGATAAGCTGATGGATTGCCTTCACAAAAAGGGACTAGACGAGAACGATTTTAAAATTATCCAAACGCTGTATTTTAACCAAACTGCAGCAGTTAGAACAGAAGCCGGTGACACAGAAATATTCAATATCAAGCGAGGTGTACGACAGGGGTGTGTATTGTCACCACTACTTTTCAATATATATTCGGAAGAAATATTTGCACGAGCACTAGAGCAATCAAGAGAAGGTGTTAAAATTAACGGCAGAGTTCTAAATAATGTACGATACGCCGACGACACGGTCCTAATTGCAGAGAGCGCACAGGATCTCCAGACACTCTTAGATCGCGTCAGATCGATCGGAGAACAATACGGCCTCAGCATTAACGTCAAGAAAACAAAAACAATGATTGTCTCCAAAACATCCATCCATCCACCCATGGCTTTAAACGTGAATGGTAACATTATCGAAAATGTCGAGAAATTTCGATATCTAGGGTGCTGGATAACGAAAGATATAGATCCAGACATAGAAATAAAATCGCGAATTGAACAAGCAAGAAATGTCTTTTTAAAAATGAAACAAATGTTTACGTCCCAAACACTCAATCTCAAAATCCGATACCGAATGCTGAAATGTTACGTTTACAGCACCTTACTATATGGAATGGAGGCCTGGACCTTCAAAATCAACTCACTAAGGCGTTTGGAAAGTTTTGAAATGTGGTTATTTCGAAGGATGCTGAAAGTCCCTTGGACAGCGCATATGAGCAACGAGCAGGTCCTACACAAGATGGGTACCGACAGAGAACTCTTAAAAATAATGAAAACACGGAAAACCTCATATTTGGGACACATATACAGAAATGAGAAATACCAGCTACTGCAGCTTCTTATAGAGGGGAAGGTAGAAGGAAAACGTGGTCCTGGTAGACGGCAGGCGTCCTGGTTGAAGAACATTCGTGAGTGGACTGGTTTGGATTCTCAATCTTTAATAAGAAAAGCCAGGGACAGAAATGATTTTGCTGAGGTTATCGCCAACCTTCATTGAAGACGGCACCCAAAGAAGAAGAAGATACAGAATCGATTATATAACAAATGAGCCGGTCTGAAACTATGTGGGAAACTTGAGCATGGAGCTCCAATGGAGCAACAAGGAGGATGTGGTACAGTGAATAAAGATGCTGAATCCGACTATAAGAGATTGGGTGAACTGTGGTCACAGGCAACTGGATTATTTTCTAACGCTCACAGGACACGTGTGACGCATACGATGTTGGTGTGCAACAGCATGAAAAATGAACAGAACGTAAAGAGAGATACGTGTAAATTTTGTTACAGTGAGAGATATCATTGAGAAAATAATTAAAAGCATGTTGGACGAGGGTATACAACTATATCCGTGCAGTGAGCAAAAAGAAAGAAGGGGAAAAAAGACAGCTGGATCAACGGCAAAGGTAATAAGAAAAAAATGCTGTCAGTTGAGGGAATGCGTTTTGATAAGAGGCGAGAAGTGAGTTAGAGTGTATGAGTTAAATTTTATAAGGTCGACTTTGTAAGTCAGACTGTGGGAAAGAAGGAAATGCCAAAGATTCCACCCAAAAAATAGCTTCTGGGAACAAAAAAAGGGGAAACAGAGAAAAGGGACAGGGATCCTCCTTGCTTGAAGTCTGTGGATAATGGAGGTAGTGTTTCGGAAGTTGATGTTTGTGTAATCGACGCCAGTCACTACCTGAAATAAATGCGTCTATAATTTTTAAGGGACTACTACGAGCGGAGGCAAGGCTTACTAGTTCCACTAGTCTGAACGGACTGGTTTCGCCCTTGCGGATTTTCAAGAGGGTAGGAAAAATTTGGAGAAGGGGACGAAGAACATCCAAATTTTAGTTCATGTAAAGAGTTGGGTCTATGGGCTTGCTTTAGAAGCCGGAGGAATGTATAAGCGAAAATGTGTTCTCTTCTAGTCTCTACCTGTAAACGGTCGGGAAAGAACAATAAAACCAAATTTCGAGTTTACAATGTATTAAATAAACTGTATACTATAACTAAGACAACAAGATATCAGTTATAACTAATTATGGTTTATTCAGACGCGAAGGGAGACGAAGAGACCTTAGCAAGAAAACTAAAGGGTGGATAATCTACGATTATTATATATTCCCCTGGGTTAGTATTTGTGTTTAGTTACCTTCGCGCACTTAGGCCCTAGCTAATGAATACGCCTTTCCAATCCAACTGTTGAGGGTATTGTTATTGTACGTTATCACGAATTTTTCGAGATACGAACTATCCGGCACTTATACGGTACTACTGTCCCGTCGGAATACAATAACGCGCTCACAGGTGCCGCGTAATTATTGCCCTGGTCCCCAGCACTTACTGGTATTAAGCACCCACGGGTCTCCCACGCTTACTGCCCACTACTGCCAAGCGCTTGCTGGACGCTACTGTCTCCGAGCACTCACGGGTGCCGGACAACTACTGGCGATTGAGCATTTTCTAGCTCCGGTCGCCCGAATAATACCGGTGCCTAGCGCTTGCTGGACACTACTCGTGCCGAGCGCTACTGCCCGGTTGACCAATTTACTTCGTTTTTTATGTCCCGCGAACATTCCTAGTTTTTTGCTGATTCTGCCGCCTGTTCCACGTGTTAGAATGGATCATGCGATGGTGTGTCGCTTCGTTGTATTATTTTCCAACGAAGGTCTATGGTCTCGTAATTTTTATACATTCGGAGATGCCCTGGTTTCGAGCTTGTGTAATACACGTTAAACTACTGCGAATTTTCATTCTTTGTTAATATGAAATGTATACGTTAAACTATGTCTATATTTACTTTGGAATATATAATAATTATCTAAATAATTATTACTCTTTTCTAGGCTAACTACCCTTTATTTTTTTTTCTTTTATTTTCTTGCTATGTTACATTACACTTGGACCCAAAGCGACCAATCCACTTCCGGATCGCTGGATGATAGGATGACTCGGGAACTATCGCCAGAACTACGAAGAATGAATACTGTACTAATGTCAGTCGAGGAGCGTCCTGGACTCAGGTATCTTTTGAAGATTTCAGACCCTCCTCTATACAGACGAACAAAGACAGTGTTACGTAGTGTATTCACTTCTCATAGTGGAAAATTTGTTAAAAATTCTTGTCTTTGTCTCTTATCGTCGAAATTTTGCCACTGCATAAGGAGGACTAAATACACGGAAACGAAGAAAAATCTTTTATAGAAAAATACTGATTTACGCATTTTTCATAGGAAAAATACTGATTTATACAATAAGAGGCAATCGATATTAAAGAAACCTTTATATATTAAATACCTTGCTATAGTTTCTGGAATCCTATAAAACGCCGTGGTAAAAAATCCTTGGCTATAAAAAAAGTTTTCCAAAATTTCTTGCATTCTGTCTATCTTTTCTTGATAAATGTCATTACTATTTACTCCAAAATATTCGTGACTTTTACATCTCGTAAGCACTTCGCAATCGACGTACCACTTCATTCGATGTCTATAAGAAAGAAGGAGATTTTTGTTTGATGAAGCGATAATGCCAATTTCACATGAAGCATTGCAGGAGCAACTTATAGTGACCTAAAATTTTAAAATAGCTAAATTTTAATTAAATAATTATATTTTTTAAGAAAAAATTAAATGCTGCCAATAATCCAGACCACCTGAGAGTTGGTTGTTGACTCTCAGTGCATAAGGTTCTGTTTTTCGAGCTGCTAAATTGTGCGCTGCCCTAAAAAATATAATCCTTTATCATCGACCTATAATCGGTTCACAATTTGTCGATAGCTCACTACAAGTTTAACCCTAATTGTAGAACTGAAATACAGAGAGGATAGGTAATACGATATAATAGTAAAAACCAACCTGAAACTGACGGTTTAATATGTTTTTGACTAGGAAATCCGAATCCGAAGGAATACAATACAACAGTCAACCTTATAATCCGATTACGAAGGTATTTTGGTCACAGATGACCGACTAGTGTCATAGAGTATATGGTTGAAACATTTATTTGAACTAAATAAATATATTTTTTAAATTGTGCTTATGTAAATTGTATTTTTGTTTTAGTAAAACTTCTTTATTTTATTCAAAAATAAAAAGTTTCTTGCCATTTATAAAAGATACATTTATGTAATTAAGGGGAAAGGCGTCAAAGGTCGATTGGCAAAATTTTCGATGTGTTTTAAATGTATCCATTATTTTCGAATCCGGAGAAAACTAATAAACATTTTTGAAAAATTTAAACGCAAAATGAGAGATTACATTATTACTGAGGACAGAAAGTGCCTTAAAACTTCTACAATGTTTATTTTTATTTGAAAATATTGTATACAAAAGACACTTTTTATTTATTCTAATTAATATTTCATTCTGCCTTTAAATTTTTCAAAAATACTTTTTAGTATTCTCAGGACTTGAAAAAAAAATGGATACATTTAAAACACATTGAACATTTTAATAGGCGACATTTTGCGCCTTTCTTATTACTTACCTTATATAATTACGATTAGAAAACTATTAAAATTCAAAATAAATAGGATCACTTGTGTAATCCGAGTCGTCTTGAGGGTTAATAATTAGCGATCGTGTCTCTACGGTCGCATCAATTATGTTATCAAGATCCCACATTTTTTGATCTTTTTCTATTATATGTCTTACTGCATCTTTCCAGTTTTGTTCTGTAATATGTTGTAAATACTCGTATAACAATTCACGTACAGCTTGTATTTTATATGACGTATTTTTTCTAGCCACATAACTTTTCTTGCTTCTTTCTAACCTGCTTTAAAATAAATTTTGTGGAAGTTTGAAAACAAAGTTTTCAGTGTTTTATTGTCACATAACTTTTCATTTGTGCCCAAATGAGTTCAATTGGATTTATTTCGCAGAGGTACGGTGGAAGTCTAAGGACTGTGATGTTTTGCCTTTCCGTCGTTTTGTCAACTACGTATTTGTTGAACTTAGATTTGTGTAGCAGGGTAATTTTTAAAAGTTCTGCTTTTACCATTCCATCTTCGTAAGGCAGATACTTATTCCGCAGCCAGTCAAGAATATCCTGTTTCTTCCACGCAGTCATTGGAAATCTTTCTACTAGTCGTGAATGATAAGGTGGATTATCTAATACTGTAATTGAATTTGGTGGTATGTGTTCAATCATCTGCTCAAAATACTCTTCGAAAACATCAGCTGTCATCTTCTCGTGATAGTCTTTTGTGCTTTTGGACTGAAATTCCAACAAACCATGCTTAACAAAACCTTTTTCACTGCCAATGTTAGAAATTATTAATCTACTGCCTTTACCAGAAGCTGGGGAGTTACCAGTAGACCAAAAGAAATATTCAAGATGCTAATTACTGCCGTAGACGCGGAAACACCTTCTTCTTCTTCTTCTTAAGGTGCCGTGCATTTCTGCGTAGGCGTCCACCGTACATCGTCTTGTCAGGTGAGATGTTAAATATTCTGGTTTAAATAATTCTGTTTTTAGCAGCATTGCGAAGCATTTCATAGCTGTGGATTCCTGTCCATTGTCGAATATTGCGCAGCCATGACATTTTTTTACGTCCGAGACCTCTCCTACCCTCTATCTTCCCTTCGAGTATCAGTTGCTGAAAAGTGTATCGTTCTCCTCGTATAATGTGCCCCAAGTATGCAGTCTTCTTACTTTTCACATAATTAAAAAGTTCCCTATCCTGTAAGCCCGCTCTTCTGAGTACTTCCTCATTTCTGACCCTGTCCGTCCATGATATTCTGAGCATTCGACGCAGGCACCACATTTCAAACACTTCAAGTTTGTTAATGGAACTGGCCTTTAACGTCCATGCTTCCATTCCGTACAGGAGAACAGGCCACACGTAACACTTAAGCATCTTGTATCGGAGGTTGAAGTCCAATTTGCGATCAGTCAGAAACTTACGAAGCCTCAAAAAAGCATTTCTGGCTTGTTCAACTCTGCTCTTTATTTCATTCTCGGGGTCCCAACCCTCATTCAGCAAACATCCCAAGTATTTGAATTGCCTGACTTGTTCGATTTCTTCTCCAGAGACATATATCTTTGCGTTGGGGTAATCATTTCTACTTATAATCATTGATTTTGTCTTCTTGATATTTATTTTCAAACCCCGAGCTTCACTTGCAAGAGTTAGATCATTTAAAAGGCATTGAAGATCTTCGATGTTATCTGCCACTATGGCTGTATCATCGGCATACCTGATGTTATTAATAAATATGCCGTTAACTTTAATACCCTTATTAGAGTCTTCTACTGCTTCTGCGAAGGCTTTTTCTACGTATAAATTGAACAGCATTGGGGACAGTATACAACCTTGCCTTACTCCTTTTTTAATGGAGAAATCTTCTGTTTCGTTGAAATTTTGAAGACGTACTGTTGCTGTCTGATTCCAATACAGATTGGCGATGATTCTTATATCCTTTGCATCCAATCCCAATTCTTGTAGGTATTTTATCATCAATTCATGTTTTACATTATCGAATGCTTTCTCGTAATCGATGAAACAGATAAAAACATCCTTTCTTTGATCTAAACAATTCTGTATCAATGTTTGCATACTAAAGATCGCTTCTCTCGTGCCAAGTCCATTTTTGAAACCAAACTGACTCCATCCACTGACCTCTTCACATTTCTTAAACAATCTAGTGTGAAGTATTCTCAGGAAAAGTTTTAAAAAGTGACTCATTAGGCTTATTAGTCGGTGGTCCTTGCAGAAGTTCGCACGTGGTGTTTTTGGTAGGGCAATAAATGTAGATCGAAGCCAATCTTTTGGAATCTGGCCCGTATCGTAGATGTCGTTAAAGAGCTTGACAATAATGTCTAGGTTTTCTTCATTAAGTAACTTGATTGTTTCTGCGTACATATCATCTGGTCCTGGGGTTTTGTTACTTTTTAATAGTTTGATAGCGTGTACAATTTCAGCTTTCAAAATACTTGGGCCATACAAATGGTCTCCCATGGTCGGAAACACCGACGAGCCGTAAATTACATGCGATCAAAAACGTACTAAATAAAAAAAATGTTTTCGTTCGTAATAACTTCCCATAAAAGCAATTCAGTAAATACAAACGTTTTGAATAATGCTACTCAACTAGATAAAATATTGCCGTTTTTACCTTAAAATCAAATGATGTCTGCACGTAACAATTTAGTTTTGTCACACCGAAACACAATTTCCTCAGCCGCGTAAAAACTAAGATGACTAGTTCTGGTGTCAACCGAAGCGCCACTGACAGTAACAGTTTCTCATTTACCCGCCTCAATTTGAAATAGGAACAATGTTTGTTTCAACGTGCACTCTGCTTCCTTACGATGTTTTAAAAACGAAAAAAGAATTGTTTGTAAAACGAATGATCTGACCTATACATTGTATATATCTTGTTATTATCATTATTATTAAAAACTGTCTTTACCATTAATCGTGTTATTGTATAATGAGAATAATGTACTATGAAATATTAAGATATAATGTACGCTAAATAATATTTACCTCTGACCTTATTTCACATTCCTCTTTTGGATAAAACGTGACCACCAATTTATACTTCTTTCCATCTTCATCTTTCTTTTTGCAGCTTTTGACATCAGATTTGAAGAATTCATGTGTACATGATGACTTTAACTTACAATTGGCTAGATGAAAATTAACCACGATATCTACGCTCTTGCTAAACTTTGTTTTGATAGGTATTACTGGAATGTATATCATTTTGGTTTTGCTGAGAATCGTTGGTTGAGTAGTAGTTGCATATAACCTCACAAGATTAAAGGGACAGTTTCCAAAATAATCGCCAACATAAAATAGTAAGTTGCTCTCGAATATTCCGTGAGATTCAGTGTTAAACGAAAACAAGAATGTTACTGATTGTTCTGGTTCTAATTGGACACTTATATATTTTTCCCTTACAGTGGGAGCACCTGTAATATAAAATAGAAGAAAAGATTAAGTGGAAATAAAAAGGAAAGGAAGTAGTACTTAATAGAAAAGTCTGTGAAAAGAAATTTAAGAGTGAGGATACTTAATAGTGGTCAAACAAAGTCTAAGAAAACAGGAGAATACTGTATAAAAAGTGGCAAGATATTGGATCTCAAATATACAGATTGAACCAAATTAAAACGGAACATACAATACATGTCTGTTTGAACTGCATTTGAAATAGTGGACCAATATAAATCTTGGACAAAAATAAATCCATACCTGGGTATAGACATTGTATAAAATATCGTTCAACTATCTGTCTCGCAACAAAGTTGTTTGCGTAAGACGGGTTTGTCTAAGGAGGCGATAATAGTTCAGGAAATGAAGCTCGAAAAAAGTTAAAACCTCGCAATTTTTTCGTCCTGCATGTATCCAGTTGAAATTTTAGTAGAAGGTAGGTAATAGCCCGAGGATCAAAATCTATATCGAACCAAAGTGCGCTGAAGGTTTTTAGGGGTGAAAACTACCCCTAATTTTCAAAAATTATAAAATAACATATTAAACCTGAATATGGGTAAGATTTGGTTTGAATTAGTTAAATAATAATTATTTTATACTTTTGAATAGAGTTCCATCATATTTCAACCCTTAAAAAGCAACCCTTGTTAGAGATTATTGTAAAAAATTACTAATTCTAAAAAAATGATTTCGCCTTGGATCGATTTGGATAAAAATTTGGATTTAAGCTCAATTCACCCGCTGCTTTATAGTTTATGAACCCTGATTGTTCTTAGGGGTGAGAACTACCCCTAATTGTCAAAAAGTATAAAATAACATATTAAACCTGAATATGGGTAAAATTTGGTTTGAATTAATTAAATAATGATAGTTTCGTGCTTTTGAATAAAGTTCTATCATATTTCAATCCTTAAAAAGCGACCCTTATTAGAGATTAATATAAAAAAATTAGTAATGCGAAGAAAATGATTTCACCTTGGAACGATTTGCATAAAAATTTGGAATTAAGCTCAACTCACCCTCTGCTTTATAGTTTATGTCATGCCGATGAACCCTGATTGTTCTTAGGGGTGAAAACTACCCTTAATTTTAAAAAATTGTAAAATAATATTACAAATCTTAAGATGAGTAAAATTTGGTTTGGATTAGTTAAATAGTGAGTTTTTTATACTTTAAAATACAAATTCATATATTTTCATCCCTTAAAAATCAATTTTTTGCCAAAATTTTGCAACTTTTCAACTTTTGAAAATCACCCTTTACAACATTGCAGTTTTTATAAACTAATTTATAAGATATAAATTAAAAAAAGTAGAATTAAATACAAAAAAAATTATCAACATAAAAAGGCACCATATATTCTTATACATTTACATAAATAGTTGAAAATATTGACATTTATAGGTAAAACAATTATAATATTAATTTTATTCGTCATCAATTACATCTTCATCGTGATCTATCTCATCCTCATCTTCTTCAATTATTGGTGGACTGTTATTGCACCCTTCACCTGAGCACCCAGAACAAGTAGAGTTACAGTATAAACCAACTTTTCTGCACCCATATGAAACGCCGCATCTTATTTTGCATTGGCAAAAAATAATTTTCAAAAATTTATCGGGTACAGGTTGTTTGTTCATGCGTACGGGTAATAACAAACCATCTTTGGAATACCATCCCCAATCTGTTGCTCTGATATTTTCATTGCCAAGCCATAGACATATGAGCAGATGTTTTATTCTGTTGTATGGGATTTCAAAATAAGAACGCTTAAAATTTCGAATGTATAACGCCCCACTAGCTAATATACCGGTTTTGTAGATTATTATGGTCCGAAATGTACTGTGCTATACTAATGGAATTTTCCGGAAAAAAATTAACTGGTTTTTTTAACGTATTTCCTTTAATTTTTAACGATAGAGTGTTTCTTCAAAAACGATTTGTAGAGGTTTTTATTAGCTACAAGGATCTGTAAATTAAATCTTTTTGGAACCCTTGGTTTTTAAATGGGGTAAGTTTAAAGGGCTCGAAAAAGATGGTGCTTGATCGTAAATCGATGCTTTAAACGGCTATATCTCGCCAAATATTCATTGTACAACAAATCTAAATAAAGTATAATTTTAGTCATTAAAAAAGCTACAATTTGGTAATTTTTATTTTTTTCATGTATTCAGTATTTTCGGGCATATATATAAAAAAAAAAGGGTAAAAAATATGAAATTGTAAATCGTTTCTCGCTTTAAGCTGTACTTTTTCTAAAACTAAGCATTTTTAATGGGTCAAACTTCTTGGACGTATTAACAATACATCTACAAAGGGAATTGCAGAAGGGTGAAGATCGATTTTAATTATGGGGGTGGTTAGGGTGTTGTTTTCCTCGATTTTTTCGTAAAAAATGAGGTATTGACCTTATTTTTTATGATAGGTCTATTTATGCTCTTTAAAAAAGGTTTCGTGAGTTTTCTTCCAAAAATGCATCATTTTCCCGATATTTGACTTTAAATGTTTCAAATTTGGCATTTGAAGAAAACCGCTGAATATTGTATTTGTAATTGTATTTGTCTTTTTAAAAGCTACAAATTTGTTCTCTACAATTTTTTTGATAAAATGCACCATTTTCGAGTTATTCGCGAAAAATCGATTAAAAACGTGGATTTTTTCGTCTAAAAGTTGTTACTTTCAATCGCGAATAACTTGAAAAATATCATTTTATAAAAAAAATGTATAGCACATTTTTTGTTTAGAATCACTTTTCTAATCGAAACCTGTAGTTAAAACGTAAAAAAAATTTTCACCCCGCAGATGGGGTGGCAACCACCCCCTAGGCTTTGGCGCACTTTGGTTCGATATAGATTTTGATCCTTAGGCTATTACCTACCTTCTGTTAAATTTCAAGTCAATCCACGCCGCACGAAAAAATTGCGAGGTGAAATGCTACATTTCCTGGACTATAACTGGTTTGACAGCATAATAAAATCGTAGATTTATGTGTAGCTTTCAATTTTTATGAGTTCAGAATCCAGCAGCTCGCTGAAGTATGAAATTTTTTATAATATAATTATTTGACAATTCTTTGTTGGCCAACCAGCTACAGCAGAATTGAGCCGAAATACATTATATTCCTATGTTCCGAATTTATTTCGTTCAATCTGTATATTCACATCTACAAGTTTGCCAAAATAAAGCGAAATACATATCAAAAGATCCAAGCTAAAGTGTACAAATATATTTACAACGAACTAGAACCACTGAAGCAAAAACTTAAATCAAATTAAGAAATATATTAGAGACGGAAAGACTGAAGCAATAGTGTTTTATGGCAATTTCAAACGACAATAAAAATGATATTTTATTCATTAAACGTTCATTAAATCAAGAATTTAATAACAAACGTATCTGGCAGTTATAAGGATAAGTAAGATAGATTCGGCGTAGGGGTAACAGTAATCATCATCAAGATCTTACATTCCTGGTTGAATGTTTGCTGCTCTTACATAAAGCCCTTTTATTAGCTTATAATGGTGAATCACTCCGCGCTGTTCTTGTGTAAGTTTATTTTATAACTTGGCTTTCGTTATAATTTTCTTTCACTCATTTCGATATGTGCATAGGTTCCTCCAGTTTCTCACTTTCAGGATTTTAATGTTCCTCATGACCTGGTCCTCCATCTCTCCCTGGGCCTACTAGTTTGTAACTTCTTTTCATTTCCTCCTTTTCCACTTTTATCAGGCCCAATATTGTTCACAGGGTTTTCCATTCGAATATTCTTAATCTTTCTTCATTTTTATCTGTGAGTCACATTGCCTCAACTGCGTATGTAAGTACCAGTCTGATTGCATTATGGCGAAGAACAAGCTGGATTCTGAAATGCGAGATCATGTATAGATAGTGACCTGCCAGATACTACTACACTGATCACATGCGTTACTGCCGCTTTAAACGGAGGACGGTTCATTTATATCGTCGATGGTGGCGTGGTTTGGGTGGAGGTTGGCGTGGGGGTAAGTGTTCTTTATGATAGGTACTAATGTTAAAAGTAACCGTATGCTGTCATCTCCCTATGCCGTCATCTTTTTATGGAGAAAATTTGTTTTTTTTTTCAATTTATATGGCTTTTTGGACATCTTCTTGGTTTGTAAGATGATGGGGGCTATGGTTTGGAGTTATCAAAATCAATTTTGTTACCTGTATAAAGATGGTATTGACCTAGAGCGGAAATTGAATCGGAATTGCGAACAGAAATGGAGCGTTCGTATATCCTCTTTTGGATTCTGGAGGTCATCTTTACATAAGATAGGGAGGACATGAAATATATGATAAGGAAATTAAAGAAAAAATATATGTTAGATCGAATACTTATATATTGGATACAAGAATGCACATTTGAACTTAAGTTTAGAAGAAGAGAATATGAAAAGTTGTACGACTTTTAAGTATTTACGGTCAATGATATGCCAAGACGGTACTTGAATGAAAGATATAAATATGAAAATATCACAAAGAAAACAAGCCATAAAGACACTCCATGGTGTGATATGGAACAACATTCTAACAATAGAAAACACAAAAAAGATCTTTCAGAGCATAGTGCTGAATATTACCCTATATGAAGTGAAAGTATGGGAAATGAATAGAACAGTACAAAATAAAATAAGAAAAGGACTGAAATGGACTTCATAAGAAGATGTCTACAAAACACCAGAGAGTTCAATTACTCAAAATTTGGAAAAGAGAGCCCTGCGGTGGTACTGGCATGTACAAACAATGCAAAAGCACAGGTAACCGAGAATATTAGACTGAGACTTGCTTGAAAGAAAAGAGAGAAGATCTGCTGTAAGATGAAAAACGTATATAGGAAATGCTATGATAGACAGAAACCTCAGAGAAGGCGTATGTCAGAATAGTTTGCTGTGAAGGACAAAAACAGCTAACATAAAATGGGAAAAAGTGTAGTTCTCTATATAGACCTTTCTCGTCTTATTTTTTTCTTTTCTAAAACAGAATAAATATTTTATCATTTCTTCGTTAATTTCTAGCCCTTTTTTCTGTGATTTATTTGCCAGGATTGCTAATGTTTCTTTCAATTCTGCCATATATCATTCCATAAAAACTATGTCATCTATATATGTTTCTTCTACTGCAATGTTAAAGATTACTGTTGTCAGGGAATCACCTTGTCGCACTCATGTTTCTATTGCAATTGCATTCTTTCTATCGTCTTCTGTTGTTATTTTAGTTCCATCCATTTAGAATCTATTCATAGATTCACTTTTGTTAATATGATTAGTAATGACATATCTAGATTTTTAATTTTATTACATAATAAAATTATCAAAGATATGTAAGGATATTATCAAAGATATGCTTAATAAACGCGATTGTGGCTGCTAATAAGTAAAATGTCTAAAAAGAAACCACTGCAGCCAATGTTATAGTGATATTGTTACCAAGCATGGAAGACAAATAGCACAAAAGAAGACTCCACATATTATGTGGACAATGTATTTTGCTTGCGCGAACTATTTCTGTTCTGACAGCTTTTTTAAGGTGCGTGCTGCTAAACTACAGTAAGTTTTCTTTATTAGCATTTATGTTAAGTTGTCGACTATTTTTTTATACCGTTTTGAGAGTTACGCTACCTGTTAAATAAATATTTAAGCTAAAAGAGCGTTTTTATTACATTTTGAAAAATGACCTTTACTATAGTTAATTTTTATGAACGAGAGAGTAATGAGCATAATTTTAACTGGTACCTTCGACCACTCCATGGGCGTGCTCAAGATTAATTGAAAAATTACTTTGAATAATTGTAAAAAATAAATGAATTATTTCAGTGTAATAAAGCGTTATGTGTATGTAAACAAAAGCGACTTTTTTTATCACACGTGAGAAAAAGAGTTTTTAAAACCGTCTAAGGTATGTTAAATACATGAATAAAAATATTAATATAAAACTTACAGCTACTTGTTACATATCCAAATCAGATTCAGAAGATGAACTTTCAGAACCAAGATTTATAATAACTGGCTCGATCATTTTATCAGTAATATTGTCCAGCTTCTACATTTTTTCCTCTTCTTTAATAGTGTGATTTACTGCCTTTTCCCAGTTTTCAGGTTTTACATTATTTACGGCCTTCAAAAACAACTGTTTAACATCATGAATTTTAAAAGTGGTATTTTTTCTTGAAACTTCACTCTTTATCTGTGCCCATACCAGTTCAATCGGGTTTAATTCACAATGATATGGTGGGGATCTAAGTACTGTCATTCCACGATTTTTGGCAATTTCATCAATTTCGTATTTTTTTAAATTTTTCTTTATGAAGGGCACACTACGAATAAAGTTCCTTTCTTATAGATCCGGGATGGTACGTAATATTTTTTGAACTCAGCCAATTCTGCAAGTCTTTTTTTAACCACTTCACTTTTTAACCAACAGTTCTTAGGAAGAAGATCTATCATTTGTTCGAACCATTCTTGAAAGACATCAGCGTTCATGTCTTTATGGTAGTCACCAGTACGAGTTGATTCAAAAGTTAATAAACCACCTTCAACAAAACCGTCTGAACAGCCAATGTGTACTATTAGCAGCCTGCGTCCCTTTCCTGATGGTGAGTTTAAACCAGTAGATAAGTTATTTACAAAAGCGTGCCTTTGACTTGTAACAGTTTCATCCTGCCAAAATTTATTTGGTGTATGACCCTCGTTGATCCATGTTTCATCAAGATAAAATATTTTTCTTTTTTGGTTTCTCATTTCCTTTATGGTTCTTAGAAAATGTCTTCTCTATATGACAATATCGCTTCTTTCTAATAAAATAGACTTTCTGGGATTCTTTTTCCAGCGGAAGCCTATTTCTTTTAAAAGTTTCCATGACGTACTTCGACTCATTTCTGGGTAATCCTTATCATCTCGAACTGAGACAAGAACTTTATCCAATGTTGGAAATTCTTGTCTAAAGAACAATTCATGCACTTTCCGTTGATGTCCTTCTTTAAAATGATATTCTATTTGAAATTTTGGTTTCTCTGGAGCATTACGTGGCATTTGAAAACTACCACATTTCTCTTCTTTAATAACTCTGTAAATCGTAGATTTCCCAACACCAAGTGTACTGCTAACTAACTCAACGGTCTCATCAACACTTTCACATAAACGTTTGTCTGTAAATGATTTAAAACAATTAAATATTAATGTTTTTTCATTAACTGTTAAAGGACCAATTTTTCGGCATTTACACGGCACTTCCAAGTTTTCCATAACACTAGTATACACAATAAACTGCACCTTGCAACTGAAGTACCTACTTTTAGTGAACTGTTAAGAATTTTGAATACGCCACTTGGACCTTCCTACAAAATGGAAAAACCCACTATCACATTTTCTGTGGAATAAGTTTAGAAGGTAATTATCTATTCAATTACTGTCGTAGATTTCTGGAATTAAAGAATTAAATGTTTGATTGTTGAAACCCTTACTTCGTGGAATGCACTCATTTCAGATAAAATAAAACGTTTTATTTTATCTAAAGAATTAAACTTTATTTTGCAAATAGGTAGGTACTTATTAAACTTTTATTGGTTATATATAACCAATAAAATAAACATCTCCGACACTGGCAACCTTATTCAGGGATTAGTAATCCTCACAACTATTGTATTCGATTCTGCTCCAACCTTTATACCTGGTGGTCATACTCAATTTAAAATTGTTTTCCTATATACTTCTGTAAACTTGTTGACAAACATCTGTTTTTCATTGAGTCACCTGTATCAACAGTTTAGGGATTTGCATACATAATTTATTGTTTTATTACTCTCTTATACATAAAAATACACTATAAAAAAGTATAATACCATCTAACTACGGTCTAAAATCATGGAATGGTTTTCTGGAATGCAGTTTTGTTTTGTAAGATATACTGAGTACCATATAATGGTGCTCAATATTTGAACTTATACTTTGAGTACCATATGTAATACTCAAATTACTCTTTGGCAATGCAAGGAAAAAGAGGTTGGCAGTCGACCTGTTAACACAATAGATAAAAGTTTAAAACAATATGAACAATCGAAGATACGTGAATGAGAATAATGTACTTAGAACAGTTGGTGAAAAATGGACAATAAAACAGGAGTTTAAAAAAAAGGATATTATAAATGAGTTTATAAAAGAAGGATTACAACTGTGTATAAAGGAGATACACAGTTGTAAAAAAAGATAGAAACTAATGTAAAAGGATGAACAATATTAAGCAGCAGATCTAGATCACAGATAAAAGCAAAATAGTGTTGATTGCAAGTACCTGTATTGTTTTCTACTTCAACGGAAAAGCAATCCTTCATATTTTCGGTCATAAGTTTCAATTCTCGACTGATGTTTGATATATTGGTAACTAGGAATTTGTTATTCGGTGCATCACTTGTGAACGACATAGAAAACGAAGAGAACTTGAACCACGGAGCGCCAGCTGCACAAGTTACCCTTAACCCAACCATTGTTTTTCGTGATTTCTCGAATCCTGTTCTTCGGTCGTCAAAATAGTTACTGTATTCAAAGCTTTTGGGATTGTTTAATAACGGCGGGCCAACTAAATTGTTTAGAATCATAGGAACATAGAACGTGTAAGCTGTTGGTTCTAGTGGTTCGAATTCTAGATACAAATTTACAGACGTGTGGGGTTCTATGTTAATAGAATCGACAGTTTTGTTTGCCGTATCAACTATTCTGAAGTCGCGGTATAAATCAAAATCAAAATTTACGGAGAGCTTTGACTGGCTGGTGTTTTCTAATCTGAAAACCTTTCTATGGCAAGCTCCTGTGGGAATTTTTTGGTATTGAATGGAACTTGGTTTGACAGCAATAGTAGGGTAACATACGTCGCCTTCTATATTTACTTGATAATTATACTCATCTTGCAAAGTGAAGTTACATACACATTTGAATGTTTGAACTGTCCTAAAAAGAGCGAAATATAGGTACATTATAATATAATATGAAGTCGAATCTTTGGATTACCTATATTGAACAAAACGTAAGATATGCATAAATTATTTTCTTTGTTAAAATATATTTGAGTGACGTGAGGAGCTTAAGTGAAATCTTAGACAATGGAAGCGGGTTTTCCAAATAAATTTATGCAGTAATTAGGACAATAGAATAGATTTTAGAAAGATATGTTTTTGTTAGTTCATAAGAATTTTTAGAAAAAGACTAGTTTGTAAATAATGTTCGGAAATTTTATAATTGTAGGTAAAAATTTGTTTGTGTTATCGAAATGAAGAAATGGGAGATGTATGACGCGTTTTGATTGGATGAGATTGAAAAAGGTGGGATGGTTGGTTTGAGAATGAGACTTTAGTGAGTTTTTAAAGAAAAAAAGATAGGCAGTTGGTTTCAAGGGTGTAAGGCGAACGGCCGTTGTTCTCGGGTAGTTTCCAGAGGTAGGAAGCAGTAGCAGTGAAAGTTTGTGAGTTTTCGTGTAGTTAGTGTATCTGACAGAAGCTGATCCAGTAAAAGATTGTAAGTCATATTTTTCTACTTATATTCCAAGAGTCACTGTTCAGGCCAACGAGAGATTCAGTTTATCGTAAAGAGAAGATATTCCAAGAGTCATTTTTCATTCAGGCCAACGAGAGATTCAGTTTATCGAGAGGAGAAGAGGCTAGCATAATTTGTTATAAGATTGCTGATTACCTAGGGAGCTGCTAAATAGTTGATCCACATCTCTAACCCTATTCAAAATATACTTAGAGAAAGCCTTGACTTAGTGGAAAAGAAAATGCGAAGGCATGGGAGTACCGGTACGAAACAAATACCTATATACGTTAAGCTATACAGACGATTAAGTAGTGATTGCACAAGACCGAGAAGACCTCAGTTACATGATGAAGAAACTACAAGAAGAATAAACCAAGGCTGGCCTACTTGGGGTTTATAATTACGAAAAAGGCAACATCAGAGGAAGAAATTACACAAAGATTAGGACAAACAAGAACAACAATCCGACAACTTAACTCAGTATGGTGGGATAGACACCTAAATATGAAGACAAAAATACAGATTTAGAAAACATTAGTGCGAAGAAACACTCAGAAGAAATGAGGATCTGTAGAGGAGTTAGACAGGGATGTGTGTTATCACCACTTTTGTTTAACTTATATTCTGAAGAAATTTTCCAAAACACGCTCAATAATATCGAAGCGGGAGTCACCGTTAACGGAAAATTAATTAATAATTTAAGATATGCAGACGACACTGTGATCATAGCAACGAGTATAGAGGATCTACAACATCTTATCGAAAGCTTGAGTATAAATAGTGCTGAGATGGGAATTACTATAAACGCCAAAAAAACGAAGTACATGCTGATTACAAAAACGCCACAAAATATACATCACCTATTGACAATAAATGGTAACGTGATAGAACAAGTAGAAAAATATCAGTATTTGGGAACTTTGATCAATGAAACCAATGATCATACTGTAGAAATAGACAGACGAATAGAGATTGCCAGATCAGCATTTATACGAATGAAGCCACTCCTAACGTGCAAAAATCTAAATTTGGAGATCAGACTACGTACCATTCGCTGTTATATATTTTCAATATTATTATATGGAGCTGAGACTTGGACATTAAAAAAATGTAATTTAAAAAGAATCGAGGCCTTCGAACTCTGGTTATACCGCAGAGTATTGAAAGTATCATGGACTGATAGAATTACAAATAAAGAAGTACTGGAGAAAGTTGGTAAAGAAACAGAACTAATCACCACTATACAAACCAGAAAACTGGAATATCTAGGCCACGTGATGAGGGGACCAAAATATGAAATTTTGAGACTGATAATACAGGGAAAGATTCAAGGAAGAAGATCTGTTGGCCGAAGGCAGAACTCATGGTTAAAGAATCTACGTGATTGGTACCAATGCAGATCGATTGATTTGTTTAGAGCAGCAAGTTCTAAAATAAAAATAGCCATTATGATTGCCAACTTTGTAGGGAGACGGCACTCTAAGAAGAAGAAGTGCGAAGTATTAGGACATATGAGACTGAAAATGGGATTATATATAAGAAGAACAGCAGTAACATAGCAGCAACAGAGATAAAATGCCTACGAATATGCTGCAAAGTAACAACAATGGAGAAGTAATACAGAAATAAAGACTATAGTGGTATGGACATGTAAGAAGGAAAAGAGGACAACCTCGAAGATCCTGAAGGAACGAAGTAGACGACGCCATGATTAAGAGAGGACTAAACGATGGAGAATGGGACAACAGAGAGAGGTGGAAACGGTCATATGTCATAATGCGCTTAATAGCCTATTAAAACGTTCTAGTGGCTGTTTTAATTAACTATTCTAAGCTTTTCCTTCTCAGCCAGCAACAAAATGAACCCAGCATCTTCGACATCACACCATTTTCATATTTTTCTAAACCAGAAATGTAACTTTCGTCCAAGATCTCTTCTATCTCGAATCCTTGCCCGTGAGTGTAAATTTTAAGAGGAAGTACCTTGATTAACGCAAGACATGTCCCGTTCCGAATTGAAAGTCGAAACGTTCAAATAAAATTATTTTCTATTAAAATTGTGCTCAATTGCCATCAAAGATACTAAATAACATTAAAATTCTACAAGAAAATAGCTTCTTTTAGTAAAAAAATTCTGAAAGAAAAAATCGTCGTGGACTTTAAGCAAGCTTACGATTCTCTTAGCAGAGAAGTATTCTTCCGCAAGGATCAGAAATGGCAGCACCGCGTCGAAGGAATTCCTCATTGACACCGGGCTTAGACAAGGAGATCGTCTCACTCCTCTGCTATTTAATGTTGCACTGGAACATGTGGTAAGGAAAGCTTAACTACAACTGACAAATGGATTTGCCGGTCAAGGATCAAAAATACTATTGGCGTTTGCGGATGACATGGACACATTTGCACAATCCACCAGAGATGCAAAAGAAGTTTTCACAAGAAGTATTCGAAAACAGAGCCAAGGAAGTTGGTCTGAAGGTCAACGAGAACAACTTTGAAGTCGTCCAAGAATTCAAGTACCTGGGAGCGATCATATCATCTGAAAAGAACGTGGCAGCCAGGATCATTTCAGGAAACAGGGCATATTACTCATTAATGACCGTACTTAAATCAAAAATAATCTCAATACCAGCAAAAATAAGGGTGTATAAGACAATAATTCATCCCACAATAACGTATGAAAGTGGGAAATGGACTCTGAACCAGCGGGAAACAACAAAATTACTGGTACTGGAAAGAAAGATACTGCGGACTATCTATGGGCCTTGCAGAGAAGGGACAACAGGAGAATGGAGAAGAAGACACAATGGTGAACTCCAGACAGTATGTGGAGATGAAAACATAGTAAGCTCCGTTAAAGCAAATCGAATAAAATGGGCGGGCCACGTGCTAAGACCGAGTGACGAAAGACTCTTAAACGCCAGGTTCTGGGAAATGCCCGATGGCAGAAGGTTAAGGAAGCAGTAGCCAATGATCTACGCAAAATGGGAATACAGCAATGAGAAATAGCTGCTTAGGACCGACAACAATGGAGGATAATACTAAACGCGACCGAGACACACATAGAGTTGTAGAGCCAAATGATGATGAAGAAAAAAGCTTAAGAACCGTATTGATGTGTTGTATAAAACTACTTACCTGAAATGGGCAAATACTTGAAAAAACAAAATACTTTTTCCGGGTATGACAGCTACACGTGGAGTCACGGTGAGTTCTTCCATTGGATGTGGGTCGTTAACATACATCACAACTTTATTAGCTGAATTATTTTTAAGTACCAACGTCTTTGATACTCTCATATTTAAGGGAATGTCTTTAAATTCCAATAGATCCGTGTTGAATAAAATTGAAGGTCGTGGATTTTTGTAGACCAAATTCAACACTTGCTTAGCACCACTTTGTGAGTAGAGAATGATTTCAGTTTTAAACACTGCAGCTATACTTGGAGTAAAAACTATTTTACAATAAAGGGATCTCCTTGAGTCCAAAGTACCACACGATGGCAGGATACTGTAGCATTTGTCTTGGACGTTCCAAGAAAAGTCAATGGCACAATTCACTGGATTAAATAACTCTACAAAAGCGACATTATCCCTTGGGTTAATAGTTATATCTTTCAATTTGCACTTAACAGTTGTGGGAACAACTTCCGCGAAAACTGTAGCATTGAAAATATGACAGTCGTTGACTATTATGTATACTGGAACATAGTATTTGCCTAAGCCTTGGGAAAAACAGTCGAAATATAGTTTTTCGGTTGAAAAAGGTGATATTTTTATTCTCTTTTTTCCTTTGACAATGACCGAATTGCTTAGAGCAACTATGCTAATCACTACAGGAAATTCGTTTTTGTTGACAATTGTAAAAAAGTCAGAGCAGCTAATATATGGCGCAATCTAAAACAGGATTATTTAAATTAAGTTAAATCAATTCACAATACTAGCAATACTATCAATACTAGCAATCTATGCCCCTCAGAGGATGAGAATGCAACCGCAAAAGACGAATTCTTTGCAACATTAAACGAAGTTATTAATACAGTTGGAAATAACTGAGAAATATTTTTATTAGGCGATTTTAATGGAAGAACAGGAAACAAGCGCCACAAAAATGTAATTGGACCTTATGGAGAAGACGTCGTAAATGATAACGGAGAAAGACTTATCAATCTCTCTAAAAGTAATAGACTCAAAATAACTAAAGGATATTACTGTCACAAAAACATACACAAATATACATGGTTTCAACCAACAAGGAATCTTAAGTCTATAATAGATTACGTGATAGTTAAACAAAATTCACAAATACTTATTAGAGATATTAGAGCTATAAGAGGAGCAGTATGCGGATCAGATCACCACATGGTCAGGGCAAAAATTGTTTTCCCATATAGATAAAAGGACAGTGTCTCATCAAGCCAAGACGAACAACTTTTAGAAAGAATTGATCTTCCTCAATACAATCTGTCCAGTTTAATTCATGAGAGCACCCGCACACTATATAAGACTCGAATGGACTCCAAACTTGACGAAACACTAGCAAATACCAAATGCATATATGAGAACATAATATCAAGTATTCACCAAACAGCACAGGAGGTCTTAGGAATCAAACAAAATAAAATTAGTAACAAGCTTTGGTGGAATGAAGACGTCGAATGCGAAAAGAAAAGATTATACCATAAGTGGTTGAATACAAAAGATGACGCAGACAAAGACCGATACAATGAAATGAAAAAGAAAACTAGAAAGATAATTATTACCTCCAAAAATGAGATATGGGATAGAAGGTGCAGAGAGATAGAATCTTATATTGGAGGACGACAATGCACTGAGGCGTGGAAGTTTATAAACTCTGTTAAGAAGCCGACTAACGAGAAAGTGATTCTAAATGCCATAAATCCCGAGGATTGGACACATTATTACAAACACCTATTAAATGAGAACAGAGACGAATTTAAAGAAGATATGAATTCATCAAGAATCGAAATTCTGGGAGAGCATATTACCATAGATATCAACATAGTTCAAAAAGCTATAGCAGGGATGAAGAATGGGAAAGCAAGTGGACCAGAGGGAGTAACTACGAAATTAATAAAGAATGGCTCAGAGAAATTAGATAGAATGATCACGGACGGAATATTAATGGACATCCAACACCAGATGAATGGAAAACAGCATATATGACCCCAATATATAAAAAAGGTAACAGGAGAAATTGTAAAAACTATAGAGGAATATCGGTCACAAGTTCAATGAGTCGACTATACGGTCAAATACTACGGGACCTGATAGAGGAAGATTATCAATCGTCTGAAGACGAAGAACAAGGAGGATTTAGAGCAGGTTATTCATGTACAGATAACATCTTCTGTCTTAAACAAATTATAGAAAAGAAAATTGTGACAAATAGAGAGTTACATATGACTTTTGTAGATCTTGAGAAGGCATATGACACAGTCCCGCTAAATTAACTATGGGAAGTCCTGGACACATCAAACATACATCAAACATTGGTTAGTGCTCTCAAAGATCTATATTATGGTTCAAACTCCCAAATGAAATTCGGAAACCTCTTAGCTGAAAAATTTGCAGTTACTAAGGGTCTTAGACAAGGATGTTGTATCTCTCCGACTCCATTTAAGATTTATATCTCTGCAGCTCTGAAACAATGGAAAAGGAAAGTCAAAGGAATGGGTATACAATTGAACGATCGGGATTACATATATACTTTACAGTTTGCAGATGATCAGGTGGTGATCTCAAATGACAAAGATGACATGGAATACATGCTTAGAAAACTAATTGAAGAATACCAGAAATGGGGATTAAATATTAATTTAGAAAGACAAAATACCTCTCAATTGGAGCTGAAGCAGAACAACTCGATATCGATGACAATCAAAAAATAAATCCATGCAACGAATATAAATACCTGGGCGTCATCTTCGACCGTAGTGGAAAAGACGAACGAGAAATAGAACATCGAATTGTACAAGCACGAAGAGCTATAGCATGTTTGAACGGAGTTCTGTGGAGTAAAGAAATATCAAAGAAAAGAAAATGGAAGATCTATGAGACAATGGTTAAAACTAGCCTACTTTATTGAGCTGATACATGGAGAATAACTGAGAAATATAAGAAAAAGGTCGAAGCCACGGAAATGGATGCCATCAGAAGATCGATGAGAACATCAAGAGCCGACAGAATACGGAATGAAGTGATAAAACAACAAATGGGTATAGAGGCCACTATAGTTGAGGATATTGAGAGAAAACAGCTCATATGGTATGGGCATGTGAGCCGAATGGGGGACGAAAGATTGCCTAAAAAAACGATGATGTGGCAACGCCCAGAGAAGAGGAAACGAGGAAGACCACCACAGAGCTGGAACCTGGGAGTTAGGAAAGCGATTAGCGCTCGAAATCTGGACGAAGACCTAACTCAAGACAGAATACAGTGGCGTTTGGGAGTCGGATAACGTCGTAAGACGTTATAAAACCGAATATATATATATATATATATATATATATATATATATAAATCAATTCACAACTGCGACATAAACATAGTGCGACATAGTGTAACATACTTTTACAACAGCCAACTTTTATGTTGTTGCAGTAAGTTGTGGTATGTTACTTTGATGGAGACATAGCTTTAAGCTGATCTTGATTTATTTTTACTGGAACATCCAATAGTTACCATTTTCCTCATAATACATAATACATAAAGTCTTACATAAATACTCACTTTCCCGAGTTGAATGTAATGTGGATTTACTTCAATCCCCATCAGTTGCTCTGGTATTAAAGGTAAATATAATAGAGGTTTAGATTTTTCGGTAAAAAATAATGGGCAATGTTTAATTTTTTCTTTGGTCAACAAAACTTTTTCCAGATCAGTTGGATATATATCGTCCACTAGAGTTTCATTCGCTACTGCTTTTGTCCTATTTTTTCTGATAAAGTTATTATATTTCTGTTTGTTTTCGTTTTTTAGTCGAGTTTCAGATTGCGTCAGCATATAATTGTCTACGGGGGCTTGAATTCGACGAATACTTGCAAAAATTGTTTGATAACTAAAAATATATAAAGGGTCTAATTAGTAAATAAGTACGACAAACTTAAGAGGGTAATTCTTCATGAAAAATAATGGCAGTTAGCTACACAAACGTAAGTCCGCAGATGGAGTCCACATGGAGTACAAATTGCAGATTCCCGTTGTACTTAATTCATCATCAGTCTACTTTGTATTTTGTAGAAAACGCAGTAGACGATTGTCTGAATTTTAGTTTAGCCAAATAAGGGTTCTTCGGAGTTGTACTGTGACTGGTATACAAGATAGTTTAACAAACTTTGTTTTCCCAACTCCATGGCAGTGAATAAAATTGTTTTAATACTTTCAGAAGCTGCAGCATACATGTTAAAAGCTGTTGTTAATTTAAAGATTTTTTATCCTAACTTAATTCATTGTACTTATGTAGCCCATGGGGTACATAGAATCGCAGAAGACTTTTTGGGAATAGTCAAATGTATAGTAAGAGACTGTTCCGAAGAGCAAAATATATAAGTATAACAAGCCCCAAACCACCAGGATGATTCTTTAAAATATGGCCAGATATCTGGTAACCAACCTCAGGCAAGTACGAGTACAACACGATTAGAAAGAAACAGTCATATAGCCTGAGATAAGAAGAAGAATGAGAAGAAAAAGAAAAACCTTAACGCAATCAACAAAAAAACAATATTTATTCTTCTTCTTTTTTGACGTGACATGACTTTAACCAGGCACTTAATATAGAAGAAGAACAGACAAAAGGGAAGAGGAACCACTAACGATTGTTGAAGTTAAAGATGCAGTTAAAAAACTAGCCAGGATCAAATCACCCGGAATAGATAATCTTCCAACTGAACTATATAAAGGAGGTAGCCATGCTACCATAATGGCATTACAGCAGCTTATAAAAAAAATATGGACACAGAAATCCCTTTCCAATGATTGGAATATTGGAATACTTTGCACCTTTGAAACACAAAAAGCAGATATTTGTAAATGCTGTAACGACAGAGAAATTTTATTACGCTTCTAAATGCAGCATATAAAATATTTTCCACAGTGCTATGTCACCATATGCAGAATGGATAGTAGAAAAATACCAGACTGGTTTTGGAGGTGGTAAATGGACAATTCATCAGATTGTAACCCTGAAACAAATTTTAGAAAAAACAGTGGACTATGGCGTTGATTCTCATCACATATTTATAGACTATAAAGCAGCCTACGAGTCTGTGAATAAAAGAGATATGTTTAAAGCAATGAAAGAGCTAGGAATACCAAATCTGTTGGTAAATTTATTAAATATAACTGTTGAAAAAGTTGAATCTAGAGTAGGAATTTAGAGGGAACTCTCTGAACCTTTTAAAACGAATAACAGGCTGCGCCAAGGAGATCCTTTCTCCTGTATACTGTACAATCAGGCTATGGAAAAAGTAATACGTATGTCACAAAATACAACCATTGGTTGAATATATAATAAATAAGTACAAATCCTTGCCTGTGCTGATGATAATAATATTTTTGGGAAAACGGAAAATGCTGTACGAGAGGCGTATGTAGCATTAAAACACCAATCAAACGAAGTATATGAAAATAAGCACGCAACCAAAAATACTACGATCACTTGTTATAGAAAACGATATCATCGAAGCAGTGAACGAATTTGTATACCTGTGAGCGCTCCTTAACACTGAAAATAATACTAACGCAGAGATAAACCGCAGAATTTGCACGGCCAACAGATGCTATTTTGGGCTTAATCTCCTCCTTTAATCCACAATTATATCGAGAAATACAAAAATCAAACTCTACAAAACAGTAATAATTCAGAGACCTGCAATCTAACAAAAAGTAATGAAAAGATGTTAGAATGTTTCGAAAGAAAAGTACTAAGGCGAATCTATGAGGTTTGGAGAAGATGCTACAACTTTAAATTTTATAGAATACACTAGAAACCAGATATTAAAAAATGACCCAGCCAGAAAAACGCTTTTTGATAGACCCAGTGGTCAGAGAAGAAGAGCAAGACCCAGAATAAGGTTCCTTGATAACCCTACAATGCGCAGCGATGCATATTTGCATCACCCTGGTTTTTCGCTTCCACGGTACCCTCTAATAAATTTTAAGCTTAGAAAACGACTTGATTTAAGTATGTATGTACTATATACCCGTCCATCTGGCAGACAGATCTAGGATATCGTGGGCTGCACAATAATCTTAGTTATTCAGTGTAAACGGATTCGTCCACGTGGTTACACTGTTTGTGCTTTTGTGGTGTTTTATTTTGATAATAACTTGTTAATTATTACCAGGGTGAGTAATTTAATACAAGAATGTTAGTTGATATAATAATTGAAAAATATATTTACTTATTTTAAAATTGGAAAAATAACAGTCGATTCATATTTGAATCACTTGCGCTTTCGGAGGCATAATTACACAAAAAATATAAGAGTTGTAACATTTTATAATACGTTGACAAAAATGATAGTTTCATTGATATTATCATTTTTTGTTGCAGATGTCTCTTTTATATAAAGATGGACATAAAACAATTCGGTTGGATGAATTAGACAACGACGGTTTACTTGATTTACTAGTAAACATACCCAGTGGCAGTGAAGATGAATTAGATGATTTTAGAGACGACGAAGATAAAACTGGACAATCTACAAATATACCTGCACCTATTTCTGCGGATCTGTTGGATAAATATTTAAATCACCGAGGCACCAATGAAATGAAGATTATGGTATCTGATGTCGAACATAATCAATCAAACGGATACTGTAACGTGGATAACTCAGATGACAGTGGGGATAAAGTGCAAGAAGCTGCTATTAAATCCAACAAGACTTCTACTAATGGCTTTTCTAAATCTGAAGTGGTGAAATGTAAGGAGTTGTTATGGAGAAAGAAAAAGATTGGAAACGTACCATCAACATTTACAGGGAATACTACTCCGCCAAATGTAATTTTAGATTTACAGACACCATACCAATTTTTTAAATATTTCTTCGATGACGATCTCATAGAAAAAATCATTGAAGAAAGTATTAGATACAGCATTCAGACAAATCCAGCTAAACCTTTTGAAATAACAAAGAATGAGTTAAACAAATATTTGGGAATTTGTATAATAACTTCTGTAGTTTCAATATCTAATATAAGAATGTATTGGAATGATACTATTTAAAAAATACGCTCTAATTTACATTTTAACGCCAATCAGATTGATTCAGCCGGTGACAAATTACACAGATTACGACCTTTTATAAATTCCCTATCATCAAAATTTTTAACAATACCTATGGAAGAAATGCTGTCTATAGATGAGCAGATATATGCAACAAAACCTCGCCACCACATGAAGCAATACTTGCCGCTCAAACCACACAAATGGGGATATAAGCTCTTTGTGCTTTCTGGGGTTTCAGGTTTTTGTTATAAATTTGAAATATACATTGGCATGAAAAATGGTTCAACAAAACGGCTACAAAATGAACCTGATTTGGGTGCAAGTCGCAATATTGTCGTGAGATTGGCTCGGGAAATAAAGAGAAATTGTTATCACAAGTTGTATTTTGATAATTACTATACATCCGTACCTGTAATTAGGTTTTTGGCGGAACAAGGAATTCATAGTCTTGGAACAGTACGTAGAAATCGAATTCCATGCTGTAAAATGCCAACTGAAGCAGTATTGAATAAATTACCCAGAGGAACTTTTGAAGAATTTGTAGCAGATTATGAAGGTACAGATATAAGTAATGTTTTCTGGAGAGATAATAAAACAGTTACATTATTGTCTTCATTCGTTGGTACCGATCCTATTCAAATGGTAGACAGATACGACAGAAAACAGAAAAAGAAGATCCAGTTGCCATGCCCTGCCATTGTACAGCAATATAACCGTCATATGGGTGGGGTTGATTTGCTCGATAGCATCATTGGTAGATACAAAATAAAGATGAGGTCAAGAAAATTGTACATGAGGTTATTTTATCACCTCATTGACATAACTGTAATAAACGCTTGGCTTCTTTATCGACGATGTAATGAAGGCAAGCCAAACCTTTAAAAACTTGCACAATTTAGAGTTGACTTAGCATGTGCACTATTGGCACACAAAATGCGATGTTGCAAAATGTTGCTAATGTTACTCCCTTGCCAGCTCAGGATGTCAGATTGGACAACCAAAATCATCTTCCCATTTGGAACAATACACGACTACGTTGTAAGAATCCTGTGTGTGAAAAACAAACTTTTGTAGTGTGTGAAAAGTGCAATACGGCTTTGTATTTAAACAAAAAAACAACTGTTTCAAAATCTTTCATAAATCTTAGTTACTTTTACCTTACTACTTTATGTTGTGCTCCTTTGTGCGCAATGATGCATATATGGATCGCCAATAAAATATCAAATTATAAACAGTATTTTGATGGTTGATTTTTCTTACTATTTTTTCCTTACTTATAATCAGTTAATCTATCCTCCTATATATTTTTTTTTGATAATAAAAAATTGCGCATTGTAGGGTGCCTCTACTAAGTTGTAGTTTTCGTGGTCTTCTTACTGATCGTCTTCCCATTGGGAAACCGTCTTTTACAGTTTTTCTACTCCATTTGTTGTCATTCGCCTTGTATGATCATTTCACTGTACTCTTCAAATCTTCTCACCTAGTCATTGATGCTCTCCACTTTGCATCCGCGTCATATATCTGTACTTATAGCTCTGTCCCGTAGTGTTCAAAACAATCTTTTAAAGAATCTAAGGCAGGACTATTTTCCAAGGGTAGTCTTGGACTATTATAGAGTCTGATGTTTGACCAGAAATGAAAGAATAGATGTATTCATAACATGTATATTCTTCTTCTTCTTGTCCCGTCTTCTAACGAAGGTTGGCGATCACTTCTTTAAACGCTTCTCGATCTTTTGCAACGTGAAATATCTGTTCAACACTGAGGTTAGTCCAATCTCTGATATTCCTCAGCCAAGATTTCTTCTTTCTTCCCAAGCCTTTTCTTCCCTCTACTCTACCTTGCATGATGACTTGTAGCAGAGAGTATTTATCGTTTCGGAGTATGTGACCCAGATACGATGTTTTTCTTATTTTAATTGTGTTCATAGCTTTCTGCCATGTCCAACTCGTCTTAACACTTCCTCATTTGAGACTTATGCAGTCCAAGGAATCTTCAAAACACGCCTATATAGCCACATTTCGAATGCCTCCAATTTTTTTATAGATTGGGCTCCATATAGTAGTTGCGACCAAACATAACATTAGACGAACCTCAATCTGATGGCCATACTCAATTTCTTATTTGTAAACATTGACTTAAAATTTATAAAGCCTTTTCGAGCTATTTCTATTCTGACCTTTATCTCCTGCTCTTTATTAGACTCCTGCGGAGTTTATAATTGCTCCGAGGTATTTATATTTGTCGACTCTCTCTAGGGGTTTACCCTCCAATGTCAGTTGTATGTTATCAAGAGGGTTTTTTGAGATCACCATGTATTTGGAGGAGAGTTTGTAAATCGTCTATATTCTCTGCCATGATTGCGGTATCGTCTGCAATGCTATGTTATTAATGATACTCCCTGCAATCCTTACACCTTCAGTTCTTTCCCATAGTGCCTCCTGAAATATTAGTTGGGAGTACATATTAAATAATTGTGGCGACAGCACACATCCCTGTCTGACTCCCCTTTGAATTTCCGCCTGGTTTGTCTCACTATCTTCCACCCGTACGACCGCTGTTTGATTGTAGTACAGATTTTTGATTAAATTAATATCCTTGGGATCTAGGTGTATGTGTTTCAATGCATGTATGAGTTTACCATGTTGGACTCTATCAAAAGCTTTTTGGAAATCTCTATAACATATGAATACGTTTTTATTATATTCCCTGCATTTTTGTAATAGTACCGTCATTGCGCACAGTGCCTCTCTTGTTTCCATTCCACATCTAAATCCAAACTGTGTATTGTCTAATTGTTCTTCACATTTTATATATATATATATATATATATATATATATATATATATATATATATATATATATATATATATACGCTGCTGAATAACTTTGAGTAGTATTTTTAAAGTGTGGCTCATAAGGCTAATTAATCGGTACTCATCGCAAGATTTAGGATTATTTTTCTTGGGTAAGGGTAAAAAGATAGATTTTAACCATTCATCCGGGATTTGACCATCGTGGTATATTTTATTAAATAATTTAGTTAGACACTCTATATTTTCATCATTCAGGATTTTTAATATCTCTACGGGAATTTCATCGGGACCTGGCCCTTTACCACTTTTTGAGATTTTAATTGCCTCTTTAACCTCTGATATCAAAATTTTTAGATTTCATTAGTTGGTAATGTATCATTTATTTCTTCCCTATTATCTGCGACTAAGTCCTTGATGTATTTCTCCAAGTTTGTTGTTTTTCTACTGCTGATAATTGGAGATCCCCCTTGGAGTTTCGTATAACTTGTATTATTCTCTTCCGATTATTTCCTGTAATTTCTTTCAGTTTCTTATGTAGCCCATATGTGTCGTGTTTCATATTAAGTTCTTCTATTTCTCTACAATTTTCTACCAGCCAGTGTTCTTTAGCTTCCTTGATCTGCGTTTCTACTAGTTTCATCATTTGCTTGTACTTCTCTTTATTTGTATTTTTGTATTTTCGTTTTTCTTCTATGAGGTTTATAATATCTGGTGTCATCCAGTCTTTTTTGTATGTATATGATTACTTTTATATTACTTTTTTATATACTACTATATCACTACATCTTTACGAAGGAGAAAATATAGAGGAGGAGGATACCACTTAGTATTAGGAACATATCAGTCTTTGTTTAAATGTTAATAACGTAAACAACAAAGAATATCTTTAAAGCAGTTAAAAAATTTAAAAACCTGTTTTTTTTTTTAATAAAAACCAATTTATAAAATATTATACTTACGCAAGATCGCTGCTCCACGGTCGCAATATTCTTGGACGATCGTTGGGAAAAGCGACTATATTGGTATTTCCCCTAAGATAGGCATTTCTTTTTGCAACATTGACAAACGCCTGAACTGGTGCGTCCTTTACATCTCCGAACTTGGTATGATCAACCAAGAATCCCACTTCATCGGTTATAGCTGGTGTGATACCCATGTTAAATTTACGCCTGAGCATTGGACTTGTTATTGAAGGATCTTTGTGACACTTGTATCTGATCATATTAAATTTAAATTTGTGATTGTAGGAAGCAAACAACTTAGACAATAAAAAATACTTACCGAACATGAAAGTATGCATTACCAACTTTATAAACGTGACCGTTAGCTTTATATGTTAAGCAGAGACTTATATCCGTCTCAATATCCCCAATGGTCGAGGGTTTCAACATTAAAAGAACATCAACATTAGCGTTTGCCTTCAAGGTCATTTCCTCTGGTTCCATTTCGAAGCAGGCATATTTGTGATACTTAAATGTTATCGGCAAATAGCTGGATCCATTCTGAATGTTGAAAGTGAAGTTATATACTTGCCCCACACATAAATCATCTCGGTCAATGGAATGAGGCGTTAATTTAACATTGGGTTCTTCGATTTCTCCGTACAAGCATAAGTTTAAATGATTTGGAAAAAGTGGAATTTCCTTAAAGCTTTCATCAATTGAGTTTAAAGAGCATATTTGAAATTGCTCTACAAAAAATTAAAATTGATAAATTAATAAAACATTTTAAAAAATCAGAATGGTACATTACTATAAAAAATGGAATATGCCATCCTTGAGCAAATTTAAAATAAAGGGTTATTCAAAAAGTAAATTTTTTAGGTCTTAATATTTCAAAATGAATGGGCAAGGACCACAATTTGTTAACTGAAAAAAGCTTTTTGCTCAAAATTTTCCGAAAATAAAATATGTATAAATGAGAATTAAGTCATAAAATGAATTACATATATGTATCCCTAATCAACCATAAAACTGTAAAATGAAATGTCTATATTAAATATTTACGCATTCACATAAAATCAGCCAATAGCTGAATTAAAATCATAAAGTCATCAACTTAAGTGGTCCTGTGTTTTAACACAAAAAAGGGTCTTCTTCTTTTGGTACCTATCCCTTTGTGGATGTTGGCGATCACGTTGGTTCATACAACTTTGTTGACAGCTGCTCTAAATAGATGTATCACGGTGTTGTTTGTAACATGATGGTATAGGAAATTCTGAGCATGCGGCCGTAGCACTACATTTCGAAGGCTTCTAAGCGTTTGGAGGTTGTTTCCGTCAACGACCAGGCTTCGACTCCATATAAAAGGATCTTCTTCTTCTTACGGTGCCTTATCCTTAAGGACGTTGGCCATTACATTTGCCCATTTAATCTTATTTGTAGCAGCCCTGAATAGTTCTATGGAGGTCATGTTCGTCCATTGCCGTAGGTTTTTAAGCCAAGAGTTGCGTCTTCTTCCTGGTCCTCTTTTGCTATTGACTTTGCCTTCGATTATAAGTTGGAGCAGTTCATACTTTTGATTTCTTATGATGTGACCAAAATATTGTGTTTTCCGTTCTTTTATTATAAGCATAAGCTCTCTTTCCTTATTCATCCTCCGCAAGACTTCCGCATTTGTAGTATGGCTCATGTAGGATATTCTGAGCATTTTACGGTAACACCAGAGTTTGAATGCTTGGATTCTTTTTTGTGTTGCTTCTGCCATTGTCCAGGCTTCAACACCATAGAGCAAAGTGGAGAAGATATAGCACTTAAGTATTCTAGTTCTCAATGAGATGCCCAGCTGGCGGTTGCATAGAACTTTTTGCATTTTGTAAAATATTGTACGTGCCTTTTCCAGACGTATTCTTATCTCTAGTGAGTGGTCCCAAGTTTCATCAAGATTACTTTCAAAGTACGTTGTTCTTGTTACTCTTTCAAGATCTGTTCCGTCGACATTGACCTTCACCCTTCTGTTTTGGTGCTTGCTGAGGATATATTCAATTTCATTCCAAATTTTCTACAGGCTGTCGTTACTCGGTCCATTAAGCGTTGCAGGGCTTCAGCATTATCTGCCAGTATGACAGTGTCATCAGCATATCGCAGGTTATTTATACATTGCCCGTTTATAATTATACCATCCGAGGTGCCTTCCAAAGCTTTCTGAAATATCTTCTCAGAGTAAACATTGAACAGCAAAGGTGATAGGACACATCCCTGTCTTACTCCCTTCTCGATATTGATTTTTCCAGATCTTTCGCTTTTTATTCTGATTTTAGCCTTTTGTTCTTGGTAGAGGTTTGAAAGGATCCTTGAGTCTTTATCGTCGATATTACATGACCTTAAAATATCTATTAGTTTATCATGTTTCACCAAGTCAAACGCCTTCTGAAAGTCTATAAAACAGAAGTATACATCAGAATCGACATCTCTACATCTTTCAACCAGCACACGTATTGAAAAAAGTGCTTCTCTTGTTCCGAACCCATTCTTAAAACCGAACTGAGTTTGTCTACTTTATTGTATACTCTATTGTGTATTACTCGTAGGAAAAAGTTTCAATATATGATTCATCGGGCTAATAATCCTATGGTCTTCACATTTCTTGGAGTTTCTCTTCTTTGGTAGTGGTATAAACACCGATGTCAGCCAATCATTTGGTATTATGCCTGTTTCGTATATTTTGTTAAATATATCTTCCATTACTTCGATGTGTTCGTCTAGTAATATCTTTATTATTTCAATTGGGATATTATCTTCCCCAACAGCTTTTCCGTTCTTTATCTGATTTGCCGCTTTGATAATTTCTTGCTTTGTGATATAAGGTCCAGTCGATGCCTTCTGCATGTAAATGTTCGTCCTCTCTCGGTCTTGAAACATCTTTTCCACGTATCCTCTCCATCTACCTATTTGATCTCCTATGTTCAGTAGCGGGTTCCCATGTTTATCTTCGATGAAAGACGTACTACTTACTACTACTACATTACTACTGCGGAACAAAAATGGCGATGTATGTTTTATTCTCTCTTATATTAATTACACACAATATGGATTAATAAAGTACTTGAATGTAACTACCTGATAACGTTCTCACCCTTCTATAGTGGGGATTAGCTAGCTTATAACAATCATTACAGTTTTCCGACGTTTTTATAAACAAATCGCACGAAATACACGCTGCTTTGTCGTGAACACCAATACTAACTGGTTACACCTATAACGTTTTTCGAGTGGTTGTTTTTATTTCTATATTTGAGCTTACATGATCACCTGTGATTCAATGGACAAATCAATAAATTTATGGGGAGTGGCAATATTAGGAGCATGGCAATATTTGGCGCACTTCCCTTATATTGCCTATGCAAAAAATAAAATTTTATATAAAATAGAGTTAATTACGCGAAATATAAAATAAAATGTAAAATATATTAAAATAAAAACTTACCTGCATCTACAAGACTTGAAAATGTCTTTACTTCAATATCCTTTCCTGTAATATAATTGAAATTTTTAAAACGGCCAATAAAGGAGATAGAAAGATGGATATAAGTTTTAGAAAAGCTCATAGACTACTTGAATCGTTAAAGAGAATATTGAAGGCGAATAATGTGACTATGTCAGTAACATAACATCTTTTTCAAGTTTTTTTTTTCTTTTTCATTGGAAAAAGAGAATATGACAGTCCTCATACCTTCTCTAGTTTCCAAATCAACTGATGTAAAGAGTTGTTTTAAAAGATATTTATCTTATTTCCTTCTGCATTTCTACATTCTCCTTCTCTATTGCCTTGGATAATCCAATTTTTTTCTTCGTTATTATATATTTGGGAGATATTGTAATTTTCTGTCTTTTTATTGTTTTTTTAAGTTTATCTTTGTTCATTTTTTTAGCACTTGAAGTTTAGTACCATGATACAGCATTTACTGGTACTCTATGATACAAAGAACCTTTTTCATCATATTTGCTGCCATTGGTACTACCAGGTACATACAATTCTTTAATCTTTCGACCTGCTAGTCTCCTACCATTAGGATTTCTTTCGTTTTTTAATTTAAAGACAGAATTTTAAACACTGAGATTCATGAAGTAATAAAATGAAGTAGAAATAATGTTGATAGTTACCTGTGGATGAACCAAATACATATTGTCGCCTGGACTGCAATACCTTGTATTTGAAGTATTGTTCTGAAGCTATTTTCTTGTGGCATTGTAAATTAATTACTATTTAATTGGGAATAAGCCACAATTAAAGATAAAAATACGTTTATTGACGTTTCAATTTCCACTTCGGAAATCGTTCTCAAAATACAAACAGTAAATTAAACAAATTTTGTTTTTTGTTACTTAGTGAAAAATTCTTCTAATAATTTAATTTTATCTGACTCATTTATATTGAAAATTCAGACATACATTATGCATTTTAAAGTAGACGACTTTAAAATGATATTGCCAATATTGTTGAGTTTAGCTCCTGGGACGACTTTACTTATAAGATAGTTCATTCGATTACATGAAATCAACGTTAACTTGAGAATATCGATCAAAAAAAAATCATAGCATGTAATTCGTCTTGAAAAAGACAAACACATGACATGATGACAGTAAAATTCTCCTGTTAGTGATTCCATAGTAAATTATGAGGGAAAAATCAGGAAAAAAACCTCATAATACTATCCCGGCATTGTAAGTATTTGTTCGTGAATTTAGTTTACCTTCAATAAACATCAAAATTCTGATTTTATATGTTACGTTATTTAAAAAACATAAATGATGTATTCTCCATATGTTACTGACTTACTAATACTGGTATTTTCTTATTAATAACTTCCTCTTTCAATATTGGTAACCAGATCCAACTACATTCTGCCGAGGAATTTGCGACACAATTGGCCTCATTTAGCATAATTAGAGCCGCTTCTTTGATTTTTCTTTTTTTACCATCCGTTTCTTTTAGGACTACTAAATTATTACTTATTTGAATTATTCCATTGAACCCTATGCTCATTAGCCCATGCGTGTTTACATATTTGAGATCTATCAAATTCTCTATTTTTAATATAAGATTGATGTTCACTTATTCAAATGTAGTCCTAAAAGAAACGGATGGTAAGAAAAGAAAAATCAAAGAAGCGGCTCTAATTATGCTAAATGAGACCAATTGTGTCGCAAATTCCTCGGCAGAAAGTAGTAGGATCTGGTTACCAATATTGAAAGAGGAAGTTATTAATAAGAAAATACCAGTATTAGTAAGTCAGTAACATATGGAGAATACATCATTTATGTTTTTTAAATAACGTAACATATAAAATCAGAATTTTGATGTTTATTGAAGGTAAACTAAATTCACGAACAAATACTTACAATGCCGGGATAGTATTATGAGGTTTTTTTCCTGATTTTTCCCTCATAATTTACTATGGAATCACTAACAGGAGAATTTTACTGTCATCATGTCATGTGTTTGTCTTTTTCAAGACGAATTACATGCTATGATTTTTTTCTGATCGATATTCTCAAGTTAACGTTGATTTCATGTAATCGAATGAACTATCTTATAAGTAAAGTCGTCCCAGGAGCTAAACTCAACAATATTGGCAATATCATTTTAAAGTCGTCTACTTTAAAATGCATAATGTATGTCTGAATTTTCAATATAAATGAGTCAGATAAAATTAATGACATGATGACAGTAAAATTCTCCTGTTAGTGATTCCATAGTAAATTATGAGGGAAAAATCAGGAAAAAAACCTCATAATACTATCCCGGCATTCCGGGAGAAACTAAAGCTAGTCCTAAAAGAAACGGATGGTAAAAAAAGAAAAATCAAAGAAGCAGCTATAATTATCCTAAATGAGGCCAATTGTGTCGCAAATTCCTCGGCAGAATGTAGTTGGATCTGGTTACCAATATTGAAAGAGGAAGTTATTAATAAGAAAATACCAGTATTAGTAAGTCAGTAACATATAGAGGATACATCATTTATGTTTTTTAAATAACGTAACATATAAAATCAGAATTTTGATGTTTGTTGAAGGTAAACTAAATTCACGAACAAATACTTACAATGTCATGATAGTATTATGAGGTTTTTTTCCTGGTTTTTCCCTCATAATTTACTATGGAATCACTAACAGGAGAATTTTACTGTCATCATGTCATGTATTTGTATTTTTAAAGACGAATTACATGCTATGATTTTTTTCTGGCGGATATTCTCAAGTTAAAGTTGATTTCATGTAATCGAATGAACTATCTTATAAGTAAAGTCGTCCCAGGAGCGCAACTCAACAATATTGGCAATATCATTTTAAAGCCATCTACTTTAAAATGCATAATGTATCTCTGAATTGTCAATATAAATGAGTTAGATAAAATTAAATTATTAGAAGAATTTTTCACTACGTAACAAAAAACAAAATTTGTTTAATTTACTGTTGTTTTTTAAGAACGATTTCCGAAGTGGAAATTGAAACGTCAATAAACGTATTTTTATCTTTAATTGTGTCTTATTCTCAGTTAAATAGTAATTAATTGTATTTGAATGTTTTACTAAATTTTACTTTTTGTGTATTGTCCAACCCATAGTCTGAACTGACAAAACGCATAGCAATAGAAAACAGAACCCTCTGTAGAGTACCTTAGAAAAGTAGAGAAAAGAAAAAGTAAAGAAATCAGAAGGCAGAAAAAGTAGATAAATATCGCATGAAAGAAAGATTAATGATGTGGAAAAAGACCTTAAGATTCTAAGGGTCAGAAGATGGATGGGAGTTGCTAGGAATCGATGGTAGTGGCAATTTTTCTGCGAACAGGCCATGATCTACAAAGGATTGTCGAGGCGATTATGATGAAGGTTGAGGCTATTCTGCAGGGCTGTATAACTATTAGTAATGATAGTTTTAACCTTCTGAATATTTGGTTTAAACTCAGATACAAGGTTTGCAGTTCGAGCGACTATATTATGTTTATACCTTTTATCACGCCATCTCGAAAGTTTACTTTTACGATCTTAATCATAGCGATGCAATATTTTTGAGTAAATGATCTTAATCTTCTTGGAACAAATCTGAAAAGTTAATTAAATCATATATTTATTAAGATTCTATTCTATTCTATTCTATTTATTTGATAGTAAATTTAATTATCATATAAACTATATACTACTACTACTACTTGTCGGTTTATGACGTTCTTCGCCGTTTTCCCACATCCAATCCGCACTTAGTTCGGTTGTTCCATAGGTCTTCTTTTATGACCCTCTCTCTTTTAGCTCTTTATTTATTCCTTCGCTCCAACTTTTCTCGGTCTACCTCGTTTTCTCTTTCCTTTTGGTGGCCATTTTAATATTTCTTTTGGTATTCGGTGTTCGAACCAGATAAGTTGTTTTATTGTTAGGTCATCTGTGATTGTTCGTTTGATTTCCATTATTTCTCTAATGCGTTCATTGGTAGTCCTTTCTCTTCTAGATCTTCCTTCAGCTCCTCTCTAAAAATCCAGTTCTATCGCTTTCAGCGTTGCCAGTGTTCTTTCTTTCAGTGGCCATACCTCACAGCGGTCTATAGTGTTACTATACAGTATTGTGCGAATTAATGGAATCACTATGAATTTTTTTTTTCATTTTTTCAATATTCACAGTTGGCAACACTACCTATACAGTTGATAGCTGACCAAGCATTGAAAACATAACCTTACTGTGTGTTGGTGTGTTTGAGTGTGTTTTAGGTCATTTCTTACCAAGCTTGTGTTTTTTTTGGGTGTTTTTGTACTATTTTGTGTTGTTTTTGGTTTTATTCCAACATGGATATTACGCCTAGGAAGCGTGAAAAGATAGTCACGTTGAGTGAACACACTAATATGTCACAAAGAGAGATTGCCAGAACGTGTGGAGTGAGTCAGGAAGTAGTAAGCGAAATTTTGAAGCGTAAACGAGAAACGGGATCAGTGGATGTGAAAAGGTTAGGAAAATGTGGAAGAAAGAGAAAAACAACACCAGCAGATGATAGATTTATACTTCGAAAGAGCAAATTGGACCCAAGAAAATCAAGCCAAGACCTACAACAAGATCTAGCAGCATCAGATATAGTGATTCATGACTCAACTGTTCGTAAAAGATTTTTGGAGAATGGTAGAAGGCCAATTCGTCCACAGAAAAAACAGCTTCTAACTGAACGAATGAAGAAACAAAGGCTACTGTGGGCCAAAAAATACTCTAATTGGACTGTAGGCGACTGGAAAAAAGTCCTATTTACAGATGAAACCCACTTTATAGTTCAAGGACAGCGGTCGAAATTCGTCAGGAAGTCTGACAATGAAAAGACACCATCTCATATTGATCAAACCGTAAAACATCCATTCAAGAAAATGTTTTGGGGATGTTTTTCATAAATGGGGGTTGGATCTTTGGTGCCAATTGAAGGCATGATGAACAGCCAAAAATACAAATCCATGTTGGAAAAGTATTTGGACAAACAACTCCAAAAATGTCAACCCCAAGGAGGAGCGATTCTTCAACAGGACTCTGCTCCCTGTCACAAATCAAAGGAAATGATGGCATTTTTCAAAAATAAGAAGAATGTTGTTTTAGATTGGCCCGGTAATTCGCCCGACCTCAACCCCATTGAAAATTTATGGGCCATTTGCAAAGCTAGCCTGCGAAAAATCGACGTACCACTAAAACAAAAATGATAGAAGCGGCCATTCAGGTTTGGTATCGAGATGAAAGGATATCTGACAACTGCCAGAAACTCATAGAATCTATGCCAAAACGGATAAAAGCAGTAATTGCTGCAAAAGGGGGACATATTTCCTACTAAATGATGTAAGTTTACCTTTATAGTTTGGCCAAAATATAATTTTTTACTAAATAAACTGCTTTTTCATTAAAACAGCCTATGATTCCATTAATTCGCACAATACTGTAGTCTCATATATGCCCTTTTTATTTTCTTTGCTGATGGATTGGTCCCATAAAATGCTGTTTAACATTGTGATGGCTTTTCTTCCTGACGTATTTCTCTCTCTAGTGGATTTGTCTAATGTTCCATTTTGTGAAATAGTGATACCTAAATATTTGTAGTCACAGCACTGCTTTGTCGTGGTGTTATCATCGAATATGAGATCTTTTTTTTCTACTCCAATGCACAAGTATTCAGTTTTTTTTTTGTTTACTTCTAGACCCTATATATCATACTCTTCAAATAATTTTCGTGCCATATAGTTTAAATCGTCATAATTTTGAGCCATTATTATATATAAACTATATATGATGTTTAAAAATAATACTTGTATTTATATAAAATTATTTTAAAACGAGAAATGTTATAAAAATTAAAACAGATGATTAAATAATATTATTAATTGGATGGCATTTATGACTTTCAAATTTTGACAATCGTTGCGAACCAAGTCATTTATTGGTAGATATTCTTTTAATTTTTTACTTCTCATTTAATGTCTGTATTTTATTAGTAATTTTTCATGAAGTTTTTAATTTAAACCTGCGTAGAATAAATATATGATGACCTGCAGGTCATGCAGGATGTCTTAACGGCTGCAGATAGAGTGAAATGGGCCATGATGATCGCAAATGTTCTTAGGGATGGGGATGTTAAGAAGAAGAATTGTAAAATTCCTATTACCTAACAATAATAGCAGCTTTGTGGTTTTTGGTAAGCCTTCCTTCTTTTGGCGCCAATTTAAAAAATCTTAAACTATTGTCAGTTTTTCTAGCTTCATCTAATTTCTACAAAAAATAAGAACACGGTATAAATCAAGGCCTTAGCACTTGGGTCATCACAAAATATAGAAATATAGTGATAAAGAATAACTAAAAAATAAGGTGTTCCGAAGCTATTTTTTGTTGCATTTTAAAGTAATTACTATTTAAATGGGAATAAGCCACAATTAAACGTCAATAAACGTACTTTAACCTTTAATTGTGGCTTATTCTCATTTAAATAGTAATTACTAAAAAATAAGATTGTAACGCATCATTTTGAGAAAAAACTGAAACTACATTATCAAATTTTATTCAGCACTTACTTTTTCTTCATTTTTATATATCGCCATGGTACAGAACATCGTGTTAGTGGAACTGCTGTTTTTTACTACTAGCGCTCTGATGCTTTCGGCATTGTAGTAAGTTTTGGGAAAATGGATAACGATTAAATCAAAGTTGCTAAATGGGTGTTCTAGTTTTAATTGTGGCATAATAAAAGTTCCCGTAATATAAATTCTTTGTGGGGGGTCGGTTTTTATCCAGAATTCTTTTAAAAATTTGCCTTCCCGTGAGCCGAGTATTTCTACTTTTATTTCCACAATTTCAGAAGGCTGAAAAGTTATTATAGGTTTGTAAAAAATTAATACAAAAGTATTTAAGTATAATCTGTGTGAAAATAATTGAAGCCTAATTATGACACAGCTAATTTAACAACGTAATATGATAAACCGAAAATAAAGAATTCAAAATTGTTTAAAAGTTTTTTATGTATTATATTACAAAATTGATGTATAGATATCTATATTCGTCCTATTTTTAAGATATAGTTATCTATACTTGTTTAAAGACCGTTATAATATTATGCCATAAAAAATGTGTCTTAGTTAGGTAATAAACGAAAATTATAACGAATTCAAGAACTGTGTGAAAGTGTAGTATAGAATAAAGCAAATTCTATTTCAATAAATAACTGTTTTTAATCCGAAATCTAGTGCACAAATCTTATATAATAGTGCGTGTCTATTTTCAATACACTTTGGTTGCGCTTTAAGCTTAACCTTGAAGATTCAGCATTTTTTCACTAACAGTTGGCCTAATAACCGAATCAATTCGTCATAGGCGAATACGGTATAAATATAGTAAACAGACGAGTAATTGGGTTCAATTAATAATCGTAATTAATTTTAGCAAATCGATATTTTAAAATTAAACAGATATAATCTTCAAACGATGAAAAGGTTGCGGGTGGGATTACATAATACTGAATGTTAAAGAAAAAGGTCTTATACTTACAAGTGTTAAGCTGTTGTAGGTATTTATAAAAGAAAAAGATTGAGCAACCAGTTTTGCTGTTTACAAGTTATAAGCATTACCAAGCCCTCAAGAAACTGAAGTCAGAAATATATGATATATGCAAGCCAATATGTTGTACATATTGTACAACACTAGTACAACTAAACTGTAAACTAGTACACCAAACTTAAAACTTTAACCTTCATAAAAAATAGGGAAATAACAGGCACTAATATTAAGAAAATATTAAACATACTGCTGGATAAAAAGGGCAAAATAATTATAGATGTCGGTGAAAGGCTTAAAATATGGCAGGAATATATTCAAGAGCTATTTAAAGACGAACGGACTGAGATAGTACTAAAGCAGGAAAAATTCGACAACGGCCGAGACATAACAGAGAATGAGATATTAGAGGCGATAAAGCGAACAAAGAATAACAAGAAAATACAACGAAATACCTGTAGACATAATAAGGTTAATAAAAGAACAGCAAATTGGAATATTGGTCGACTTATTCAATACAATATACAGTACAGGAATAATTCCCAAAGATTGGCTGATATTAACATTCATAACACTACCAAAAAAAACCAAATGCAAAAGAATGTCAAGACCACCGGATAATAAGTTTAATGAATCATACGCTCAAAATATTTTTAAAAATTATACACCGGAGTATACACAACAAACTTGAGCAGGACATAAGTGACACACAATTTGGATTCAGAAATGCACTGGGAACGAGGGAAGCCCTGTTCGCTGTGAATGAACTTGTGCCAAGGTGCATGAATGTTAATCAGCCAGTATATATATATATATATATATATATATATATATATATATATATATATATATATATATATATATATATATATATATTGTCATACTTTTTCTTTTCCAACCAAAGAAAAATAAATAAAAAAATCCATCGAAATAAAATTTCAAGATATCAATATAAACAAATTATATATAGTAATTTAAGATAAGATTTAGTGTAGATAAGAATAGAAATTTGTTTGGCAAACGACCTTTTTCCGTTTCAAACACAATTATCAAAAAACCTTTGTTTAGAATTAGAAGACATTTTACCTGTAAGTTAATCTTTTCATTGTTTGTATAGTCGAGTATTAAATGACCATATTTTAATCTTTTGAAATATGTATAAATGATGTATTGAAAAAAAAACCAATTTTAAAGTAAGATTTTTAGTTTTCTCTGAAACCGAAATTAGGCTTTTCCAAAATTATGGTAAACACAATTTAAGCTTTTTGATTGGACGGTCGTTTTTAAATGGGAATTTGGTGAGTCGATCATGAGAGAGGAGAAGTTAGTCATATTTTGGTCATCGAAAGGAAACAGTCGTTTGTCTCAAGATAGGCTGTGGTTCGTGAGTTTGAATACCGGCGTAACGAAAAGAAGTGAATAGTTTGAAGAAGGAGATAACAAGTGGATTAAAAGAGGTCCTTGTATCTACCGTGGGCATTTTATAAAGTATATGTGAAAGTATTCTTACGGCAGCAAGTTGACAAAAGGAGGTCCTGGTGTCATAAATAAGTAGCGGAGTTTGGAGAAGTGAATCAGGTGTTTTTTGTGTAGTCTGAAGAAGGTTTGCAGAGATGTAAAGAAGGAGCCGAGGTGCCAAAGAGGGGAGATCACATATTTGAGGAGACTGGTTTTTTCTGGGTATGTTCCAACATACAACTCAAGAAGAAAATAAACTGTAAGTGTTTGTACAATTGAATTTTATATCTGTGAAGGATCGTTTCGACATCATGGTCATTATCATTAAAATTTAAGAACTGAGGTTTTGTTAGGCTAATCAAAAGTTTAAAGTTTTGTGGTTTCTTTTTTTTAAGTAAAGAAAATTTTAAGTAAAATTGGTTTTTCACGTAATATAAATGTATGTAGCTTTATAATCTTATTAGCATAATAATTTCATTTATTTTCTTGTATGCTGATTGATAAGATAACGACAGAATTTAATAATTGTTTTATTCGTTCATATAAAATAAAAAAACGTAAATCTTTGTAATATAATATATTTGTATTCTTATCCTTTTCTTCTCTATCCCGATAAAAGACAACTAGAAAATCTTTTGAATCCATCGAACACAGGTAATATAAGGATTATTTTACTTTTGATAACAAATAAGTTATAATTCTTTTTTATTGGCTCAATAAACTAAGTTTGAACTCAAATTAAACAATCATAACAATATATATATATATATATATATATATATATATATATATATATATATATATATATGTGTGTGTGTGTGTGTGTGTGTGTGTTTCTTGGATTACAACAAAGCCTTCGATAAGGTGAGACATAACCGTCTTATCGGATTACTTGAAAAGAAAAAACTTAATGAGAGACATCAGGATCATTAGCGCTATCTATTATAATCAGATCGCTGTGGTAAAAGAGAACAACGTCTTTTCAAATGAAATACAGATTGAGAGAGGCGTTAGGCAGGGCTCTGTCCTGTCTCCTACTTTGTTTAATTTGTATTCAGAGGAAATCAGAGGAATAAAAGTATATGGCCCACCAATCAATAATATACTGTTTGCCGACGACACTATTTTATTAGCGGAATGTCTTGAGGATTTACAACAAATGGTTGATAGAGTGGTCGAAGTCAGTGAAGAAAACGGACTGTCCCTAAACACAAAAAAGTATTACAAAATTTATGGTAATTACAAAAGCCCAACAGCGTCAAGAAATCATAACAATACAAGGAGAATAAATTAAAAAAGTTGAAAAATATAAATATCTGGGTACAATAATTAATGAAAATAATAAGTACACAGAAGAGATTAAGGCAAGAATAGGACAGGCAAGAAATTCTTTCAACAAACTGAAAAAAGTACTCTGCGCAGGGACATTTCAATTTCTTTAAAAAGACTTCTGAAGTATTATTTTATGGGTTGGAGGCTTGGACTTTAAAAAAAGATGTTTCGGACAGATTGGAAGCCTTCGAGTTATGGGCCTACAGAAGGATATTAAGAATAAGTTGGGTAGATAGAGTCACGTGTTGAGAAGAATGTGAAAAGATAAAGAGGTTTTAAATACAATTAAAGTCAGAAAACTGCAATATCTGGGACATGTTATGAGGGGCGAGCGTTATAACTTGTTGCAATTAATAATGCAAGGAAGAATACAGGGTAGAAGCAGTCGCGGAAAAAGACGCGTCTCCTGGTTGAATAATTTGAGAGCTTGGTTTAACTGCACTTTTGCTAACTTCTTTAGAGCAGCGGCGTCGAAAGTGCGAATTGCCATGATGGTTGCCAACGTTCTTAGAGGAGATGGTACGTGAAGAAGAAGAAGTACAACTAAAAATTCATTTAAAGTGGTACTAAAAATATATCAGACTTAAGAACCCATTAGCGCCGTGCGTTGCATTTTTGATCATTTTCCTGGACTAATAATTTTTTACCATTAAGTGTTAGCACTGTAAAATAATATAATGATTTCTTAATGAAATTATTGCGTCTGGTAATTATCAATTAAATTATACATATATTTCTTTAACACAATTATCTATAGTTTTACACTAGAAAAAATAAAGTATATTATAATTAGATAATAATTATATATTATTATTGCGGTGACTGTAAAAGGAATGTATAATAATACGATAAAAAATATTACAATAATTACTTTCTAATAAATACTTGATTACCCATTTTATGAAAACATGCCAATCAATTATAAAGTAGCTTGTATATTTGGTAGTTAGATACACATTCAAACTAATACGGAATCACTCAGTATTTTTGTTTAAACAAATATTATTAGAAACTATAATTTCTGTAAAGTATAGTTTTTTGGTAAATGATAGACTGCTCCAATAAAATGATTCAAGAAAAAAACAAAATATATAAGAAATGGTTAACAAAGAAAACATCTAGCAATAGAGTAACATATCAAAGGAAAAACGGATAAGTACGCAATCGAATAAAAGAAACAAAAAACAATTCCTGGGAACAAAAATGTATCCAAGTTGAAAATTTAATTGGTGGTTTTTAGACTACGGAACTACGTCCATACGGAAGCATGGAGAACTATCGCTAATCTAAAGAAAAACACCCACAACTCCTTAAGCAACTTAATTCCTATAGAAAACTGGGAAAATCACTACTTATAAAAATTTACTCCAGGGGTCCAGATTGGAAAATACATTGATAATCTTTAAGATCCTTCACGTGTTTTAAATGGCGATTAATCCTGCTTTTTCTTGTGTCCCAAAAATAGACGACTGTTAACTATAAAGAGAAACAAAAATGTATATCAAATAGAGCATCACTCCAAAGTTAATTTGACGGTTATGTTGGCCCTTGCGGCATCTAGAGAAATAAGAGCATTAATGATTATTTACCCTTATATACGAATTCCTAGCAATCTTCTAAATTCCGTTCAACGATAATAAAGCATAGGATGTAGCGATACGGGATGAATAAAGAATGAAAACTTCTATTAATAGGTACATAGGAAATGTCTTATGTACCTAGTTGCAAAAAACACTAAATTTCCAGTCATTTTGTTCGTTGATTGACATAAAATTTACTTAAACTTTCAAACCAGTGAATTATGCTGAAAGTTATAAATTATGTTTAGTGCTGTTATATCCCAGAATTATACAACCTACAGATATTACTGCATTTAAAACATTAAAGGCAAATTGGAACCTGGCAGTTTTAAAGTTTTGACGCGAAAACCCGAATTCAGTAGTTACCAAAGAGCGTTTTGCATTGATACTAAACACAGCCATTAGTCAATTAAAATCAGATTCCATAATGAATGGCTTTAAAGCATTTGTATTATATCCATGGAACCCTGAAGCAATAGACTTCTAAATGTTTAGAAAAGATCAAAGACCCGAATGAAAGTATTAATCACATTATTTCTACGACAAAATCAATAAATATGTGTATTTAAAAATTGTGTGTACAAAAAGATTTTGTACACACAGTTGAAACCGCAAAAATATTAGAATTTCTAAGTTTACTTTTTTTGTTTCAAAATTGCTGTTTAATATATTTCATTTATTTTAAAATACCATAGATATATCCACGATTGACTACAGAGACAGGTAAAATCACAAATGTTATACAAGATAGCTCTATCATCACAGAAACCCATTATCTTCAGATATTGATATACCAAGATGAAAATAATAAAAGAAATTGCCACAAGAGTCAATTTTGGGAGCAAAAAATGTCAAACTGTTGTAAAGAATAAAGAAAAAGTTAAAAAATATCTCAGATATAACGGTGAAACAATCAGGTAACACCAACCCACTTGTAAATACCCTTTTGTATGCAGATAATAAATGTCTATTTTATTTCAGAGGCTATCATATTACTACTTGTGCAAAGAAACAACAAGAAATTGAAAACTTAAATAGTTTTGTGTGCCTTGACTGCACAAACAAAAAAAGAAAATAAGGAATTTTCTAAATGGCCAATGATGTTTGTGTTGATTTTTGATATACATTATTATTTCTGATTAAAATAACCTGAGTTTTTATCATATTTGATGTTTCATTGTTATTAAAAAAAACCCATACAAAATATTTCACTTTAAAAGATATATACAATGCCAATTTACAATTTTAATTCAATTGGCAAGCAAGTTTTGTTATGTACGACGAATCTGTATTTAAATGTACACGAGCCACGACAAGACAAGGCGTTTAAAATCAGTTTTCTTATCTGGGGGCGTAGCTCAGATGGTAGAGCGCTCGCTTAGCATGCGAGAGGTACCGGGATCGATGCCCGGCGCCTCCAAATCCTTTTTGTTTATTAATTTACATAATTAATTAATTAAAAAATAAATTGGATCACTTTTTCTATTATCTATAAATACCTTGTATCAGGGGGCGTAGCTCAGATGGTAGAGCGCTCGCTTAGCATGCGAGAGGTACCGGGATCGATGCCCGGCGCCTCCAAATCTATTTTGTTTATAAATTTACAGAATTAATCAATTAAAAAACAAACTATAGACAAATTCACGAGAGGTTTTCAGTACAGTGCTTATGAGAAGCGACGTTTCCACCTAGGGCGCTAGGCACATTCATAGTTTGCAGGTGTGATACAGGACGGCGTTGGCTCTCCTGTACGATACATTAAATCATGCAATCCTATTAGAAGTAAATGTAACATTATGGATCTCCCAAATCTTGGCTCCTTAAAAATCAATGCAAAAAAATTAAATTCCATATAAATGCGAGATTAAATATCTATAATAGGTATAATAATTGATAAACATCTAGGATGTAATTCTCAAGCAAATAATATATCTAATGGTTAAATTAAGAGGGCTACTATCAAGATTCAAATTTTAAAACAATTTGTAGGAATAACTAATTTAAGAATTCTTTATTATGCACTTATACAATCTCAACTTACCTATGGCCTTTAAGGGTGCGGTGGAATACGGAATAATGACTTGCATTCATTCTATAATAATTATTCAGAAGTGGCTAATTAAAACTATTTATGAGAAAAATTTAAGATATTCTATGGAGCTGTTATATGATAATGAAAGTTAATTTTTAATTCTACGTAAATTATTCTGTTACCAAGCCCTTATACATATACATGAAAAAAGATAATATTAAACTTTAACAATCATGCCCATCAGATATTTAAGGGATAATACAATTTTACCTAAATGTGATAAATCATCAATATTTTATCAATGCAATTCTTTGTCCTTTCTTGTTCATTGTTAGATTTGGCTTTAGACAAAATAGATCTCAACGTGTTTGTTGTTTTGAATGTTGTTGAAATGTTGAATTTATTTCCTATCCTTTTAAGTTTTTTTAATAGATAATCCTTGTCTGTACGGTATCGTTATTTTCCTCTTATTATTCCTTGTGTATGCCGTAGGATCTCGTTCTAAGTTGTTCTGTTCTATTCGATCGATTGTTGAAAGTTCCTCATTTATAAACGATAAACGATAATCATTTTTTAATAAAACAGATGTTAACAAATGTTTCTCCTCCAAGAATGAATTTTCGTTAAAACAAGTAATTTTGGCTCTATCGTATAAGGATTTAATGATTCCTTTTTAATATTACTGTTGTGATTTGATTTGAAATTTAAATATATGTTGGTGTGTGTTGGTTTTCTATACATCTGAGTCTCATATCCAGTATCGTTCTTAGAGATTAAAACATCCAGGTAAGGTAGTGAGTTATTATATTTCTTTTCCATGGTAAATGTTATTGTCTCTTCTTTATGGTTTATATCATTTAGGAATGTGTCCAACAACTCTGATCCATGAGGCCATATTGAGAATTCATCATTTACATATCTCCACCATACTGTGGGTTTTAAATATCGTTTAGAAATGATATTTGTTTCAAAATCTTCCATAAATATATCGGCTAATAATGGAGATAAACTAGAGCCCATTGCTAGACCAAAATTTATTTTATAGAATTCATTATTTAGTTGAAAATATGTATTATCAGTATATAATGTTAATAACTCTATTATAGCCAATATGTTTTGTTGTTCTAGTTGCCAATGTATCATCACTCTCTAATTTTTTCTTGACTATATTTAAAGTCTTATCTAATGGCACATTTGTAAATAAATTATTTATGTCAAAACGTAAATTAACGTACTTTAACCTTTAATTGTGGCTTATTCCCATTTAAATAGTTTATACAATTGTTAAATATTTCTTTGCTTGAATATATATTTTTAAATCTCACGCACAAGGGGTGCTACTTTTATAGTAGCTCTACTTCAGTGAGTTTTCATTTAACATTATTATCCAGATTTAGCCACTCACACTTCCACTAAGGGAAAAATTCACTCATCCCAGATACCCACTGTATCAAAAGGATTGAGCTTTGGTGGGACTCTTCCCGGGTTATCTAGCCCTACGTGACTGATACGTCGAAGTATACCCCAAAAATGTTTGTACGTATCTGGATTTCAAGAGTAGCACAGCTTTCTGCCTTTAGATCTTATACGTGTTTACAGGTTATTATCTCAGATTTAGCCATATGGCTCACAATCCCTCTAAGGGGAGAATTCACTGATTCCAGATACTTACGGTATCAAAAGGATTGAGCGCTGGTGGGACTCTTTCCGTATTATCGGGCCCTAGGTGACTTGGTATGTTGGAGTATCTCCTAAAAATTCCCAAATCTCCCAAACAAAAATAAACATTATCTAGATTTAGTCATACGGCTCACACTCCCTCTAAGGAGAAAATTCACTCATCCAACTCATCCTACGGTATCTCTGGTTGGACTCTTTCCGTGTTATCGAGCCCTAGGTGACTTGGTATGTTGGAGTATCTCCCAAAAATGTTCGTACACATGTGAACGTTGAGAGTAGTACAACTTTCTGCATGGTCTTGTATAGATGTTCATTCAGACCGAGCTTTTTTATGTTGTATAGGAGGTTCTTTGGAATGACTTCTATTATTATTAATATTATTATTATTATATTTAGGTGTTCATAAATTGCTTAGAATAAATATATTAATGGAAAATTATATCCGTCTTTTTACCTTAATGGTACCTCTCATGGGATCAATTATAAGTTCTAGATCATGTCTTCCTAAATCAACAACAAAAGTGGTCACTTTTTCGCCTTCATTGTGTAAATGTACTGATAGTTGTTCAGAAGCTGTTCCAACGTCGATATCTCCAAAATGCAACATCTTTGGTGAAGTTTTGACGATGGCTTGATTAAGATACCTATAATTATAATAAGTTTAAAAAACGTGTACATTTTATACGTATTCTCTCGAATATACTAAAGTATAGTAAACTTTCTTGAACGAAGTTTAACAAAGTGCTTAAGTGCAAAGTGCAAAGGTCAGGAGACGTGAAATTTTGTGATTAGAAGAAATTATCAGCATTAAATGGCAAAGATCGCTTTGCTATTTAATGCTGATAATTTTATGAGTAGACCAAGTAAGCGAACATATCTTTTACAAAATCTTTATGTATAATATTTTACTGCTCTGCTATGTCAATTGAAATATAATACGAGTATATCGTATTTACACACTTAATTTATTAACAAACATTGTAATGTTGAATTGAATATAAATTGTATTTATAAACAAATTGTTTGCTTAGTTTTCCTGCTTTATACTTGAAAGAAAGTGGTAATCGCAGTCGTGATCACATATAGGTAGTTTGTCTTTTGGATGTGCAGATCAACCTTAATTAGTAAAATTTAAGTTGAATATAACATCGTATCTATTTCTTTCAATTGAGATCTTTTTTCTTGTGCCATCCCAAACTTTAAATCCAAAAATGCTGCCAAATCCATCAAAGAAAGAACCAAACACATTAAGACATTGAGTGACTCACATATCTTAATATACAATGTTTCCTATTCAGTGCAAAGTTCTGTTAAATATTTGAATATTACCCTAGACCAGAAGCTTCTCCGGAAATTACATATAGCGTTGATTGAATAACCCAAATTGGGTTATTCATTCAACGCGTATAGATAATATAGTTACAACAAAGAGGACTAAACTTTCTCCAATTCATGTATTGTATTGTACGACCACATTCAAAATAATGAGGACATTTGAGGACTTAACTTAATCAGTACATACACCCTGTGACCCATGTGACTGCAGCTCTCCAAAAGACACATTTAATACAACACACAAGCAGCCCATCGAATCAGTAAGTATCACGAATTAATTGTTAAGCTTTGGCAGGGTTGATTATTTTTATTGTTTTTAATAAATATGTTTGGTTAAATTTTGTCTTATTTGCTATCATCTAAGAACTCAGGTTCAATCCCTAGTTTAAGATAAGACGAATTCACACTTGAGATACTGAGCTAGGTAAGGTATAGACGATAAGCTCCCATGGTTGATTGAGGTATTATTTTTACAATAGTACTTCAATCCTCTTTGGTAGTCTTATTACTTACTTACTTACTCCGTGGCGTTACAACCCTTCGTGGGTTTTAGCCGACTCGACAACATGCCTCCACTGTTTTCTGTCTTGAGCAACCTCCATCCAATTCTCCACGCCCATAGTGCTTAAGTCTCCTGCTATATTATCTCGCCACCGGAGACGAGGGCGTCCGCGTGGTCTCCTTCCAGTTGGGACTTCCTCCCACACCAGTCTTACTGTTCGTTCGTCAGAATGTCTTCTGAGGTGTTCTGCCCATTGGAGCCTTCTGGACTTTGGAGTCCAGAAGACTTATAGTAACAATAAGACTTTTAGTCTTGTAGTAACAATAGACTTGTAGTAACAATAAGACTTTTAGTCTTATTGTTACAATATATTAATCTACAGAAATATTACTATGCTCAACTATATCTAAAATTCATATTTTAATAAGCAAATCAAAATTTGTCCTTCATTACGCTTCAACCTTAAGATTGCACAGAAAAAATTTAAAATCATATAGAACATATCCTGAATGTCGTCATATTTGTTAAATACATATATACTACAATTAACTTAACTTAATAAAATTGCTTGTAATACGAGCAATTTTGTGAACTTGGACACGAAAAAAATATTTGCTGTCCAATTATTACCTTTCTCACAATTTGTTATCGTTTCACCTTAATTAGATATAAAACAATGCATAGCAGGGTCAAGAAATGACAAGAATACTTTTTTACATCTAAAAATTACAATAAATTAAAAAACAACTTAAAAATGAATAAGCTGTCGGTACAGCAACCTTGTACGAAAATTATATCTTTACCATCTATTAATTTGAAACTACGGATAGAAAAATTCTCCTACGTAACTACAAAACTTTTATAATATCTATCATTATATAACAAGCAAGTAATTTAAGTAAACTCGAGTAAAAACAGGAGTCACTTCCCCCCTATAGCAGCCTGATGCTCGATAGGGGCACTACTATCAGCCAAATGCTTTTCGTGTGGGGGTCCTGGGTACACGAACTCCAACACGATATCCTTACTCGATCAATACAGGCTAGTGTAAGGCGCCCTTTTCCTGCTTTCTCTAGTGACGTATCATCGAACTGAAATTGCTTGCTTGGACTTCGAGTGTCTACTCCGGGCTGCTCCCAGTTCGGCGACTTGGTGTCCGAGGATGTGAGCCCTTCCTGCTTAGGTTTTGGGGTTTTGTTAATTTTTTTTTGGATAACTATCGCCTTTTTTATATTTTTTTTTATTTTTTGATTTTTTTTTGGTGGCCAAAGCTTTTATTTATTTATTTTTATTATTTTTTTAAGGTTCTCCTGAAAATAAACATCAGTTAATCAAATTTTCAATGCTGCGTGCTGGGAGTTCTTCTGTTGGTAGAGCTACGACTTATCTAGACTTTATAGGTTTGCCAGATTTTGCTGTTTTGGTCTTTTGTGTCCCTATTGATGGAACGCATCATATTATTATCTCTCGCAGGGTCGGGCTTGGATGATTCTCCAATTTTGCAAACCTAATTCTAGCTTATTTGTTTTAGTTCTCTAAACAGAAAGTATTTAGCGACGTATCTGGGTACATTTGTCGCTTTTCTGAGGATGTTACTCTGGGCTGCTTGTATTTTCTTTTTATTTGAATTGCCTATGTGTCCCATGCAAGAGATGCATATGTGATTATTGGAAGTATGATGCTCACCACCAGGAACACCAGGAAGTAGTATTCCTGACGTTCTTGGAACATCTGCAGTGTATATTGTGGTCCCCTCTCTGTTCTACAGGACTACTCCATGTGGCGCTCCAGCCTCAGGAGCTCCTTGTTCGGATAGTACTTATCCTATTCGTACCCTGAAGCTTCGGTTGCTCAAGTACGAAGAGATCAGTCTTGTCATGGCCTCACTGTATCCGTAGCGTCTTATTTTGTATAGTAGGCCTTCATGCCAGACTCTGTTAAAGGCTTTGCTCACATACAGCAACGCTGCTTCTGTGTAATGTTTTTCGTTAAATTCAACTGTTATGTATTCTGTCAGTCTAAGTACTTGTTATTCGCTAGGGTGTTCTGCTCTAAATCCGAACTGAGCTTCTGGGATTAGTCCTATTTTGTATGTTTCAGCTTGTAGTCTTCTTAGTATTACTCTTTCTACGATCTTACTGAGTGCTGGCAGTAAGCTTATCGGCCTGTAGTTTTGCGGAACAATGGTATTCTTTCCTGGCATCGAAATTATGATAACCTGGGTTTCCCTGCATCGATTTGAGAAGAGATCGCGTTCGTTATGTTGGTTAAAAGAACTATTGCTTTTGCTGGTAGATACTTCAGAACTCTATTTGAAATTTCATCTAGACCAGGTGCTTTTCTTGGTGAACTATTTTTAATTAACTTTGAAAAATAAGGCTCATTCAGGGGCATCTGAAATAAGCCAAGAAAACGTTTTTTAGATAAAGAAAATTAGTTAACTTCGATAAAAAACTCGAAGTTTATGGATGAAAAAAAGTTTTTTCGTCAAATATAAACTATCCGGCAAGCGTAAAATGTGGAAACATTAATAATGACATAAAATTGTACAAAACACTACACTAAAACGAGGACAAACAGTTTAAAATTACTTAAAAGATTCTACGCTACATTCTTTGTCAGTATCTGGAGGGATAATGATCTAAGCGGAAATGATACGGTGACATGTGACATATGACAACTTTGATAGGCAGTCAAAGTTATGGATCTCTGATCAGCATATATTAAAATTCTGTATAAGTTGTCATTGGCCAAAGGTCCAACTAGAACTACTACTGAAAAAATCAGCTGATGAAGTATGACATATAGAATATTTTGATTTAAACTAGATTGCATAATCCAGATCTCACACTCACACCCGTCTGTAATAATAAGGTTGTAGGTTTGAGACTAAATGAAGTGTACATAAAGTGTGAATGAAAGAAATGGACCAAACGATCTATTGGACAGTGGGTAGTTGACTACAATAAAATGGTCTACCAGGCACTGTCAACACTGCAAAACGAGAAGAAAATTGACTATGAAATTGAAATATTAAAATTAAATCAGAATTGAAAGCAGTGTGTAAATGGGTATAGTTCAAGTAGTTCAGTTAAACTTCAAGCTAAGGGGGGAACTATAAAACTAATATATAATAGCGTTACTAAAGACCAACTGACCAACAGGTGTTGAAATATAAAACTGTGGAATTAGTATATGTAGATTATGCAGAGGTATGAAGAGTGAAATCAACTCCAACTGTGGATCAATTGAATCTGAGCAAGCTAGTTGTGTAAATTGTTAAATACAATAGTAATGCTGAACAAAGCCTGAAATTGGTAGATTCTTAATGTATAGACTCAGTGCAGGAAGTCTTGACAGCCGAGCTGGGTCCACTACGAGGTGAAGCTGTAATAAAGTTTTTAAAAATAGGTTTAAATTTAGTACAGTTTAAATTAATTTGAGTGTTAAGACAATGAGAGTTTCCATTCGTTTCCTTTGTGATCTCCAAATCTTTCAATAGATCCAACTCCAAAAAACTCCAAAATTTCCCTAGATTCTTTCTACTGATATCATGCAAAATAGACGAACCAGTATTGATGTTGAAATTGTGTTTACTAGACTCTAAATGTTGACCAAAACTTGAAGAGTTTGGTCTTTTTAAATGTTCTGATATTCTGGTAGATAGCTTTCTAATGGTTCTGCCTACATAAGAGGCATCACAATCATCACACTTTAATTTGTAAATACCACTTTTGTTAAGTGTGTTCAGCCTGTCTTTGGTGTTAATTAAAAAGGGACCTACAGTGTTGTGTGACTTAAAGAAAATTTTGATGTTTTCAACTGCAGAAGTAAAAAGTTTAGCTATTTTATTAGAAATGTTGCTAATATAAGTAAAAGAGAAATATCTGATGTTGTTAGAAGCATTTGGTTGAAGAAGACTTTGTGATGAATATGCAAGCTTTTCTGTAATTTTGAGTTTAGCTCTATTTAGAAGCTTATGGATAATGTTGGGATCATAACCATTATTTAAAGCAATTTGTTTGAGAGTGTTGAGTTCTAAATTAAAGTTATCATTCGAAAGTGGAAATCTAAGTAATCTATGAATATAACTAATGAAAGCAGCCATTTTATGTTGGGTTGGATGGTTAGATGTCTCATGTATAACATAATCTGTTTGGGTGGGCTTTCTGTAAATATTGTACTCAAGAGAATCTTTATTGCGAGATATAGTTATATCCAAGAAGTTCAACTTATTGTCAGATTCTGGTTCCAAAGTAAAAGAGATGTTAGGATGAAGGTTATTAAGATCTTCCAGAATCTGTAAAGCATCATCTTGGGATCCTTGTATCAGAGCTATAGAATCATCAACGTACCTTGACCAAAAAATTATTTTGTTGTTGTTGTTAACAAATTTCTGTTCTAAGCTGTCCAAAAAAATATCAGCTAGAAAAGGTGATAATTTGGATCCCATTGCTAAACCTGTCGGTTGTTTGTATATTTTTTGGTTAAATTGGAAGAAGTCTTGATCAAGACAGAATTTGAGCATGGTTGAGATAGCATCTTTGTCTTTAGCCGGTATGTTGCAATTGTTTAAACGGTAGTGTACTAAAGGTAATGTTTCATCTCTTGGTACAGAAGTAAACAAATTGGAAACATCAAAGGAAACCAAATAAAAACTCTCTTCTATTTTGATATTATTTAAACGTTCTATTAGATCTAAAGAATTTGTAATGGAGAAATTTGGTTTAAAATTAGTAATAGATTGAATTGTGTTATAAACAAACTCTGACAATATAGAAACTGGAGTGATGCAAAAACTTACAACAGGCCTAATGGGACAATTGTGTTTGTGAATTTTAGGAAGTCCATATAATAGCCTTATTTTTCAAAGTTTATTTATTCGAGCATTCAACCTCATTTCAATTATTTTTAATTAGTTCATTTGTATTTTAAGGAGATGTAGGTGTAATTATCTCCTAGTTTTCGGGCATTTCTTGTTGTTCCTCGACTTTTTTGATGAAGTCCATATCTTTTTTTGGGTGATAATTTAACGTACATACTCTCTCAAGAATCCTCCTCATTACCTCGGCTTTTTCATCTATGGTGTAGACAATTCTATTTTTACCGTGTAGTGGAGGTATGGGTTTTCTATAATTTCTTAATATTTTTTGTAGTTTCCATATATTTTGCATGTTTGGACCATTTTCCTCCATTTTTTGAATGTGGTTATCCCATTGTCGGCTTCTCTGTTCTGCTAGTGCTGTTTTTACTTCTCTGTTTAGTCGATTTGTCCTCCTGGTTTCTTGTCTTTCTAGCTCTCTTGTTGGCTCTCTTTTCTTTTATCATGTCCTTTCCTTACCATGTTTTTGATTTCCTGGTTTATGTCTCTAAACCTTCCCATGTGCATGTTCCCATTTCTGAGTGCTTCTTGTACAATGTTTTTGAACTCTAGGACTCTTTCTTCTATTTCTTGTGGATTCTTTATCACTGGGACGTTGTTGATTCCAATACTCGTTGTTGATTCCAAGTAATATGGGGTTGAGGTCTTGTGTTACTTTGTTTAATGTTATGATCTCGGTTTGTAGTCCTAGATTTTTAACTACTACTATGTCTAGATAGGTGGATTGAGCATTTCCTGGAAAATGTGTCGGTTCGATGGGCCCTATTACCATTGTGTCTTCATTATTTGCTAGATAGTGGTTCAGTAATCTTCCGTTTTTATTCGTAGCTCTATCGTTCCAGTTTGGGGATCTTGCATTTAGGTCTCCCATCATTATGAATGGCTCCTTTATATTCAGGAACGCGTTCAGATCTTTCGTATGCAGAGGTGATTCTGATATCTTTTTACTTCATTTGTACTTTAATTATAGTTACTTTCATAGTATTTAGTAGTGGTGCTAGTATTCTGGTGTGCGGAATTTCTTTTCTCACTATGATAGCAGTGCCTCCTGAATTTGCTCTATGATCGTTCCTGCAGATGTTGTAGCTAGGCGACTTTATGTTTATACTGTTCGTCAATTTGGTTTCCTGTATTGCTATGACGTCCATTTCTTGTCCGTTGATTAATTCGTCCAAAACATTTAAATTTGTTCTTATACCACCTGGAGTTCAGGTTAGTCCATCTTGTTGTTATTTGGAAACTAGGATGGAATTTTCTGTTTCTGGTATTTCTGTTGCTTGACCATATGACTGCCCATTTGTTCTTGTTAGATGTTGCACCCTGTTGTTGGTTGGTGCTACTTGTACTCTGGGTCTATCCCATGCAGGTATTCTTGGGCATCCTCTAAATCTGGCTGGAGGTTGCCCTTGACAGTTGTCACATTTTGCCTCATCATTACATAAAAAGATAAACTACTATCGGCCTGTCATCATCTGAAACTTCAGGAGTCAGACGAATAGCCAAGAAGAAAATCGCTGGTATCGTTTCAAGATATCTTAACTACTTTACAACGCCAGTAGAAAAACATTTGTCCTACATGTCAACTGCTTTACCATTCTTTTTAAGTGCTTGAACAACCAAATAAGAAACATTTGTCACACGGGAGCTGTCTTATACATAATATAGACTACGAGCAAGCATGAAATATTTACCTTACAAGTAAAACAAAGAATAGCTAAAAATGTATTAAAAAAATACTTTACTTACACTTCTAACTCATACAAGACAGGTTTTTCGTTAATATAAAGCGTTATATAAATTTGGGATAACGCCACAGCACTACTGTGTGTATATTTTATATATCGAGTAATACTAAGGCCTGAAGATAGCATTTTTCCTTTTGGGAGTGGTTTCATTTTGAAGGCCTATAAAAAGGAACAAAAAGCTAGATAAACAAAAATAGGGTTCGTATCAAAAATAATTATGAGATAGGTAAAGAAATAATAAATAAGACTTACTCACAATCAATTTAATTTAACTATCAGACGACCGGTTTCGCTTTCTACAATATGCAAAGCATCTTCAGGTCTCGATACAAAGTTAAACAAATGCTAAAATGATAAAAACCCATATTAGGGTGTTGTCTAATAAAGATAAACAAATTAGATGTTATAAATTACAATAATTATGCCAATATTACATGTCTGTGGTTTTATTTAAATGAGTAAGTTGAATATGTAACGACTATTTTGCTTACCACAGGGTAAGAATATGGGGGACAAGATTGGGCAAACAAAATAATCGAAACAAGTGCATACGACACTCAGTTGGTTGTTGGAGAGCTGGGTCGTGGATAAGTTGAAGATATTGGGGGTTGGATTGGGGCAACTACAAAAAAAAAGAAATAAAGGGGTACTTATACAAATCTCTTGGGACAAACAGAATGAAAATAAACGGAAACACCTCAAGAAATTTAATATAGGGCGCCACTTGAGGTGCCCAATTATACCTATTACAACCACTAGTTGTAACTAGGGAAATAATTGTATAACATCAAAAATATAGAAAAAAGTATCTTTTTCAAATAAAACTCAAAATAGATCAGAGAAACAAATTAATCATTTATTTTTGTCTCAAACAAAACAGATCAAAAATACATATTATAAAAGAAACATATCATATAACATAATACAAATAACAAAAACTTACATGTTCTTTGTTTACTATATTATGGCCAATTAGATTATAAAAAATTAAGGATCCTTCTTAATGAAAACATATAAATTTAAACTTATATATGAAATATCGTTTCTACATAATTATCAAATTAAAATTGTCATAACAAAAAAAACAAATTAAACTTGCTGTCAGGTATCACATTTAATTTTGATGACAAAGAATGAAAGCAATTATTACTTTAGCCAAAAAATATCTGTCTTTACTTTGAAAAATTAATATATTGAATTGTTACCTTAATGTTTTTTTATACAAACACTTTGAAACTTTGCATCTCTGGGGAAGCTACTCGGACAAAACTTTCTAAACTGGAAGGCAGCAACCATTAGGATTTAGTTCTACACTCCAGGACAAAACGATTGGAACAGGAACTTAGTGGAAGAAATAAGCCGACTACGGGGACATCCTATATCATACTTTAAATATTTTCCATATTCTGGTATCTGCACAAATCCTTTAAATATTTAGTGGCTACCCCTTTCTAAATCTGTCATATTACAGAGAGTAATTGTTCCACTATTTAACAAAATTTGTCGACTTTTGCAAACTACATAACTAATACGTTTGTCCTGTTTCAAATCTCTCAGTCGACCCTATTGTCACATGTCTGCCCCGCTTGGAACTTAAATCTCGACTCTTCACATGTCTGCCCCGCTTGGAATCTAAATCTCGACTCCTCTTGCTTCGTTACATTTTTCAAGAATCTCGCCAAAAATTTCCCTTCCGTCTTGCAGCTAACCTGTCCCCACAAACTCAAGAACCAAAACAATATCCCCTCGCTCGTATCGACAAAAAAACAAATTTTAAATGTTCCTTTATTGCCTAAACAAACAAATATTCTTTTTTTGACCCCCGACTAATAACGAAAAACAACTTTAATATTAGGGGAATTCATGGTTTATTGCGTTTTAACATAATACCTCTTTGGCGACAAAAAACTTGATATTTTACCTAACATTGCAACACAGAGATAAAAACATATTTCCAGCGTTAATACGCATTTAAAAATCTCGTCAAAAAAACTTGAAATATTATTTCGATTGTTTTCTTTGGTAAAAACAACAGGGACGTAACACAGAAATCTTTTCTATACACTTTAAATAAAAAAAAACGCTACAATGCCCCTTCTTAAAAGAAAAAACTCGGATAATTCTTATCCAGTTTTTGATAAAGGCAAAACAACAAAAACCAAATCAGAAGATGACCTCTTAACTGAGTCGAAACTTCTTAATATCTTTACCTGAACTAAAATTATCAAAAGCGAAACAATATTCCAAAAGGATGAAATCAAATCAACATACAAACTCAAAAATATTGACATGGGATAGGATAAACTAATTACTTAAAGATGACATATTGTCCTCATCTAACACAAAAGGCTTTAAATCCTTAATGTGCCACTTACCAAGATCTGAACCATTTAAATCTGACAAACGATAAACCACTGGTGACAATTTTTCCTTGATAGTTGCTTCAATATACTTCGGTGCTAGTTTGGACATAAACTTGTTGACAGCACAAGACAAAACCTTATTTCTTTTCCAAACTTTATCACCCACTTGAAATTGGACTTGTCTTCTACGTAAGTTGTAACTCCTAGCGTTACGTTCATATCCTTTTCGAAGATTAGCCTTAACCTTTTCAAAAACTTTATCTAAACCTTTGACTTCTGAAGCATACATGTTACGGTCACCTGGAATTATCTCGATATCTTGATTCTGTTGATCCTTATGATCAACACCATAATAGTTTCCACTTAAAGGAACATGACGGCCATAATTCAGGAAAGCTGGAGTATATCCAGTCACTTCATGCTTTGCAGTGTTAATAGCTTGTCTGATCTTTGCTAAATTCTTGTCCCAATCTACGTAGTCTTTAACATACGTACGTATTGCTGTACCAATGGTTCTATTGTTCCTCTCCACAAAATTACACTGAGGTGCATATACTGGGCTAAACCATACTTTCTGAACGTTATACCTATTACAGAGCTCAATTAAGAGAGGATTGTTCAGATTTGAGGCATTATCACAAATCACATATTGAGGAACACCAAACATTAGGAAAACATCATTTTCCAAAAACTCAACAATATTCTTAGCCTTGGCCTTTCTCAAAGGTTGGACTAAAGTATACTTACTAAACCAATCAGCAACTACTAACAACCACGTATAACCTTTCTTTGAACGAACAAAGGGACCTATCAGATCTATTGCAACTATTTGCCAAGGAAACTTGGCCTCTCTCTGCTTACCCATTTTACCTAATGGAGCATAATTTGGTGTCTTCTGAGCACCACAAACTTTACATGACCTGACAAACTTAAGCACATCAACATGCATCTGGGGCCAATAATATCTTTCCTGAATACGGGACAAAGTTTTGGAAAATCCAAAGTGAGCACACGTAGGTGGCTCATGACAATACTTCATAATTTCAAACCTTTGTGGTTTGGGCACAAGAATTTTCCACTCTACATCATTAGTCTTAAAAGAATTTTTGGTAGGGGCAAACTTATAAACAAAATCATTCTCCACCTTCCACTGTAGAAAATCAAGGGGGGATCGGATTATCTTTGATCTCAAATTATCGAACCAAGGGTCTATTCTATCTACATCAACTTCTAAACAATTAACATGGGGACGACCATCAAAATCTTTCTTTTCAAAAATTGGGTTCACTGATGACCTGTAAGGTCTATTGGACTTAGACCTATTCGAAATACAACACTTAGGACAAGAAGATGTGATCACACCTTTATGACCACAACGCCAACAAGATACTGACTTGCTTCTACAGTCATGGGAAATATGACCTGGTCTATTACAATTGAAACAAATAATTTTTCTCGAATTTCTTGGAGCTTGATAAGGGACTGACTGCATTAATGGAGGTGGGGACGAAAAAGATTGCATCATTGGGGGTAGGGACGAAAAAGACTGATTTCTTATTTCAGTATTCTCTGGAGGACTGGGTCTATTATTCTCATATTTATATTTGGGATTGGGTCTCCTGGAAGAATTTTCTCTGTCCTGTCTGTCACCTACTCCACTTCTATCTTGCTTGGTTTGATTATTCACCACATGAACTTGTTCTTTGGGCTTTTCTGAATCATCAATCGAAATACCTGCAAGACCTTTAGTAGTCTGCAACAAGGGCAGGACATTCTGCTCTAACCGTTTTATAGTTGCTACTAACATTTCTACTGTAGCAAAATCTTGAAGGGCTATCAGTGGAATGTAGTCCACTAAAATATTTTTCCTCATTATTTTTACTTTTTGGGCTTCACTAGGATAAGTTTCCAAACGTTTAAAAAGGTTTTCCATCACTGCTGAATAAATGGTTATGGATTCATTCCTTTTTTGCTTTCTACTTTTAATTTCTTCGAAGAGATTATCATTATAATCTGGGTGTAAAAAAGCAGATTTGAGTAGGGCTACCAACTCATCCCAACTATTAATTTTATCTCTAACACTTCTATACCAAATAGCAGCATTACCTTCAAATAACTCAATAGCTGAGCGAAACAGGATGTCTTCGGAAATATTCCGAGACCTAGCAGAATCTTTAACTTTCTCTAAAAATGTGGGAAGAGCTTTACTCTCACCATTAAACTTAATATGTAGATCAGAAATAATGACAGGAGTTGAAACCTGTATTATTGGGGCTGGGACTGTACAACTGGGAACTACAGGGACTGAAACTGGGCTACTAGTGGATGGTTTTACTATATCATCAAACATTTCCTCTTTTTCTAACACATTACCCTTCAACACTAACAAATCATCTTTACACTCTTCAACAAACTTTAATACATCTTCCTCAACATCATTCATAGGGAAATTTTCTAATCTGGTATCTAAATGTGTAGACCTTGTCTCAAATCTAGCAAAATCAGCCTTATTTGATTCTACATTTATTGATTGAGCACAACTATATAAATCTTTTATAATCAACATGATCTCATTCAACTCTTCTTTAGGATCTACTACATTATTAACCAAATCGACTAAACTTGAAGACAAAGTGGCCTCCTTGGCCAACAAAGCTCTTAACATCTTTCTCTTATCATCAACTGTCTTATTTGGGACATTTTTACCTCTTATGAAAAGCTCATAAGATAACTCTCCTGATTTTAAATGATTAACCTGAGTGGACTTCATTTTTCAAAAATTGGATGAAAACAAAC